AAACGACAGTGTTACCCCTTTCGTTTTTTTTCATTTTCGGGCGAAAAATTAAGTTTCTCCAATCTTCTCAAAACTCTGGATTATGATAGAGGGCCGTGAGACTTTGACCTGAGTGCAAAAATGGAGGCTCTAGACCCTTCCAGAGCTGAGATATCGAAAATTCAAAATTTCGACCCGAAAAAAAAACGACAGTGTTACCCCTTTCGTTTTTTTTTCATTTTCGGGCGAAAAATTAAGTTTCTCCAATCTTCTCAAAACTCTGGATTATGATAGAGGGCTGTGAGACTTTGACCTGAGTGCAAAAATGGAGGCTCTAGACCCTTCCAGAGCTGAGATATCAAAATTCAAAATTTCGACCCGAAAAAAAAACGACAGTGTTACCCCTTTCGTTTTTTTTCATTTTCGGGCGAAAAATTAAGTTTCTCCAATCTTCTCAAAACTCTGGATTATGATAGAGGGCTGTGAGACTTTGACCTGAGTGCAAAAATGGAGGCTCTAGACCCTTCCAGAGCTGAGATATCGAAATTCAAAATTTCGACCCGAAAAAAAAAACGACAGTGTTACCCCTTTCGTTTTTTTCGTTTTCGGGCGAAAAATTAAGTTTCTCCAATCTTCTCAAAACTCTGGATTATGATAGAGGGCCATGGGACTTACACCTGAGTGCAAAAATGGAGGCTTCCAGAGCTGAGATATTGAGATCCCACGTAGCATTTATGCCATTATAAATATCTCAATATCTCAGCTCTGGGAGGGTCTAGAGCCTCCATTTCTGCACTCAGGTGTAAGTCTCACGGCCCCCTATCAGAATCCAGAGTTTCAAGAAGATTGGAGAAACTTATTTTTTCGCACCAAAAATAAAATCGAAAGGGGTACCACTGTCGTTTTTTTGGGGGGTTCGAAATTCTTAGTTTCTGTGATCTTCTTGAAACTCTGGATTCTGATAGAGGGCCATAGGACTTACACCTGAGTGCAAAAATGGAGGCTCTAGACCCTTCCAGAGCTGAGATATTGAGATCCCACGTAGCATTTATGCCATTATAAATATCTCAATATCTCAGCTCTGGGAGGGTCTAGAGCCTCCATTTTTGCACTCAGGTGTAAGTCCTATGGCACTCTATCAGAATCCAGAGTTTCAAGAAGATTGGAGAAACTTGTTTTTTCGCACCAAAAAAAACCCCAAAGGGGTACCACTGTCGTTGTTTTTTGGGTCAAAATTTTGAGTTTTACCAGAAAGACTCGGGAGATAAAATGATGTAACAAAGCATCCATTTATTGACAGCTTAGCAGGCAATTATTTGCAAAGTTCTTTTGCGTAGGCCCCGTCCATAGATCGTAATCCGAGGATAGCGGATCAGCATTTCCTGCCTAAAGACGAAGGCAGGGGCGCAGCCGACCCCCCAGGGAAGTATAGACGGGACCATCCTGGTGGTGGTGGAGAGGGTGGAGGTTGTTGTCACGTCAGCATCTGCGAACTCAAACATGTGTAAGTACTGATCTTTTATACGACAAGAATAAGAACGACATGGCCCTCTATCAGAATCCAGAGTTTCAAGAAGATTGGAGAAACTTATTTTTTCGCAAAAAAAAAAAAAAAAAAAAAAAACGAAAGGGATACCACTGTCGTTTTTTTGGGGGGTCGAAATTTTGATTTTCTTTGATCTTCATGAAACTCTGGATTCTGATAGAGGGCCATGGGACTTACACCTGAGTGCAAAAACGGAGGCTCTAGACCTTTCCAGAGCTGAGATATTGAGATCCCACATAGCATTTATGCCATTATAAATATCTCAATATTTCAGCTCTGGGAGGGTCTAGAGCCTCCATTTTTGCACTCAGGTGTAAGTCCCATGGCCCTCTATCAGAATCCAGAGTTTCAAGAAGATTGGAGAAACGTATTTTTTCGCACCAAAAAAAAAATCGAAAGGGGTACCACTGTCGTTTTTTTGGGGGGTCGAAATTTTGATTTTCTTTGATCTTCTTGAAACTCTAGATTCTGATAGAGGGCCATGGGACTTACAACTGAGTGCAAAAACGGAGGCTCTAGACCCTCCCAGAGCTGAGATATTGAGATCCCACGTAGTATTTATGACATTATAAATATCTCAATATCTAAGCTCTGGAAGGGTCTAGAGCCTCCATTTTTGCACTCAGGTGTAAGTCCCATGGCCCTCTATCAGAATCCAGAGTTTCAAGAAGATTGGAGAAACGTATTTTTTCGCACCAAAAAAAAAATCGAAAGGGGTACCACTGTCGTTTTTTTGGGGGGTCGAAATTTTGATTTTCTTTGATCTTCATGAAACTCTGGATTCTGATAGAGGGCCATGGGACTTACACCTGAGTGCAAAAATGGGAAAACAGGGGTACCACTGTCGGTTTTCTTCTCATCTTCTTCTCAAAACTTCAAATAAGTTCAATCTTTCTATTGTACTATGAAATACTGGCAAAAATATAAACAAAATGTAAATACACCTCATAAAATGTTGCTTGCTTCTGTGTTTGGAGTGAAGTGCTGCCACGCTTCTCTTCAATGTAGAGTTTTTATATATATATATATATATATATATATAATTACTACATGCAGAGCTTTACTGGCATTTGATTGGATGACAAACGTCCAATCTCATGGACTGCAGGCTTTAAACTAGGTGAAATGCTCCAGAAGTTAAAAGAAGAAGGGGCTGACATGTGATGTCCATTGTAATAGACACAGGGTCTCAATGGGTTAAATGAGGAGCTGGGGGACGCCGGAAAAATAGACATTTTACTCATTAGGCTGCTTCATTAAAAACGTGACATTTAGACGTTTTCTTCGGGGTGGATCCAGGCAAATGAATCTTTTTCACCTTGAAAAAATATATATATATATGAAGAGTTCAGATGCAAAAGCCTCTAAGTGCCATTTGAAATTTTCTTCTAGAATGATCAGTATATTTAAGTTCAGTAATTTCAGTTAAATTGCAATGAGGATTACCTATTAATTGTCATTTAAGTGAAATTACTGAACTTGAATATATAAGCTTGATAAAAATGATCATTTTAGAAGAAAATTGCAAATGGCATTTAGAGGCTTTTGCATCTGAACTATATATACTCCATTTTAAATAATAGAACATTTCTCAGTGATCGTAAATAAAACAAAGTTCCATATTCTCGGTTTAATGAAAACCAATAGGTCGTTATGGCAGAGGCGAATAAACATCCGGATATCTCTCCAATGAAGCGTGTTAACGCAAACGTGTAAGTTTCACGTTTGAGGGGGTTAAACCGTGACATCTACACATTTTCCAAAGTGGACTATTTAGGCTGCTTCATTAAAAATGTGACATTTAGACGTTTTTTCAGCGTGGATCGAGGCAAATGAATCCTTTTCACCTTGAAAATAATAAATGTTTTTTTGCATTTTAAATATTAGACCATTTCTCAGTGATCGTCAATAAAACACAATTTCATTTTTCTCAGTTTAATGAAAACCAATAGGTAAGTTTCAGCAAATAATAATTTGTTTTATATGTTTTGAGACAGTTTTAAGACTGTTAAAACTTTTTTATTTAAGTAGGCATCTATTTTCTTTTTATTAAGTATTAATTTTGTTGTAGCCTAATACATAACCTAAGTGTATTCATTTATAATGTATCATTATTGCGTGACATTTGTGTCAATAATCGTCAAACACAGGTGACTCCGCGTCGTGGGAGGGGCCCCCAAATCAAATTCTGCTTAGGGCCCCAAAAGGCTCGGGCCGGCTTTGGATAGGAAGCAAGATAGGATTCCTAAAGATAATTAGTATTTTCTTCGATAATACCAATTGGGAAAAATCCTATCTTATCCAATCTTATCTTAGCCAAATCAGATGAATAAGTTAGGCTACTTCATCTACATTCTTCACGAGAAACGGATTATGATGACTCACAAAATTGATTAGCTTGTTTAGGCGAAATAGTAAGGTCCCACGTACTTTACATGTTCTGCATTAAAACCACAATGAGTAACTTACAGGGCTAACTTAAGTAACGTTAAATTAGACGACCAGGCTTTGCTGAAGAGCCGACCTGAGCTTTGATGAGGGAACGGCGCCAGTAAATTAGATAACTCTTCTTGCCTCTCATCGGCCTCGTATCGTTCATGACTCCTTATTTTCCTTTTTTAAAAGTGTCTAATGAAGCCACAAACAACAATGACAGTCAAGCCCTAAAGCTGTAAGTTAACCGATTGCTCTTTCAGGCACTCTCTCTCTCTCTCTCCTCTGGTGCGCAATCTAAACTCAAGCGTGCTGTGTAACCATAGTAACCATAGTAAATTTGATCTGCTTGAACATTTTAATCGTCTTTAATATATTTATTCCGAAGGATAGATTAAAATACCGGGTAATTTTTTAAAATAAATACAAAATTATTAAAATGTAATAATAATGATCAATATATATATATATATTTTTTTTTTAGATCCGGGGCTATAAAAAAAACATCCGGGGCTGAAACCCCGAATGCCCAACGACGCGCCTGGTTTACACAAAACCTGTATGACTTTCTTTGTTTTGTTGAACACAAAAGAAGAATTGTGGTAACCAGACAGTTGATGGATCCCATTGACTTTCAATTTTTTTTCATACCATGGATACCAATGGACCCATCAACTGTTTGGTTACCAATATTCTTCAAAAATATCGTCTTATGTGTTCAACAGAACAAAGAAACAGAACAAATATGCCTAGGCCTATGTATTAGTCATAATAATTAAATGTTATTTTTTTAGTTAATTACATAGTTAATTACATAGTTATTTACATTGTATTGAATTAAAAAGTGAAAAGGGTTCCACGAAAAATAAAGTACATTTTTTTTTTTTTATGCAGACAAAATAAAGTACATATATTTAAACCAATCCGATAAAGTGACAAACAACGCGCCATAATAAACAAAACCCACGTGGTTTGAAAGTGACGCGACAGAACCAGGAAGTGCGCGCAGAAGGTACGTCTACAAACACCGCTTATAACATAAACATAAGCAATGAAAGTACATAACACTAGATGTAACACTAGATTATTAAACATGATAATGGATAATTTTAGAAAGGATATCGTCTGGGAGTGACTTCAGAGCTATTACGTTTTTTCCCGTCTGTTTAAACAATCGAATAAAAAGGTGAAGTGGAAAAAAATGAAGTTTGTTAAAAACGTGTCTCGCTTTTAGAGTTTGAAAGGCTTTAATGTGAGTTAACGTTGCAGTATGTTGTTTTGACTTCCTCTTGTTGTGTATTTAAAGGGACACGCCAACAATACATAAACATGGTGTCTCTGATCTGCACCTTACAAAGTCATCGAGATGATGTGAACTGCTGTGCTTTCTCCGGCTCTCTGCTGGCCACCTGCTCCGCGGACAAAAGCGTGTGTGTTTACTCCAGCCGAGACTTCAGCGAGCTGCCCTTCTCCCCGCTGACCGGCCACGGCTACGGGGTCCACTGCTGCTGCTTCAGCGCCTGCGGTCAATACCTGGCTTCCTGTTCCACCGATGCCACCACCGTGGTGTGGTCGATGGACACCGGAGAGATCGAGGCCATCCTGGAGCATCCGGGCCGGAGTCCGGTGAGGGTGTGCGCCTTCTCTCCAGATTCATCTTACCTGGTGTCTGGAGGGTCCGATGGGAGCATCGCACTGTGGGATTTTACTTCCAGGACACTGCGCAGGTACATCACTTATGTTTTGTATCTCTGTCTGTGGTAAAAAAAAAAAAAAATTACTGTAAAGTACTATTTAATGCAATTAGTATAACTGGTAACTTTCCATTACTGTTCTATCCAATGTCCACTGTGTTTAGTAAATGAACCCTATCTTTTTTTATGATGGTATCAGACAATATATTTATTTTGCACTGCCCCAGACCAAACTGTTTGATTGACACTTGTGCATGGTGATGTTTAGGACTGGTGCTGTGACTGACACCAGTATAGTGGCCTGCTCTTTCACTCCCTGCGGTCAGCTGTTCGTCACCGGCTCCACATATGGTGACCTGCGACTGTGGGACCTGGATATGAACCCTCTCCATGCGGAGAAGAACGCCCATGACCTCGGGGTCTCCTGCTGTCAGTTTGCTCCTCAGATAATGAAGGGTAGGACTCCTCGATTTGAATTATTCCGACAAGTTATCCAATAGTATATTGCTGTATCTGAGCGAGCTTAAGAAATAATCAGACGCACTCTACTAAATATAGATTCATAGTCAGATTTTTACAGTGAACCGTACAGTTTAGTTTATTGAAATGTAGAATTCACCAATTATTTCAGTCCCACTCACAATTTCCACATTGATAGAAAACTGTTTTCAATGTTTCAAAGCAGCAAATCAACATACTAGACTGGAGTAATGGTACTGAAAAGAGTTTTGATCACATTACATTTCAAAATGTGTTAAAATAGAAAACAGTCATTTTAAATTGCAATAATATTTCACAATATCACTGTTTTACTGTATTTTTGACCTAATAAATGTGGCCTTGGTGAGCATAAGAGACTTCTTTCAATAACATTTAAACAAATTTCTCACCAAGGCCAAACTTTTAAACGATAGTAACGACTTTTTCAAAAGGGTAACTTGATTACTACACGTTTTTACCATCTTGTAGCTTTGCCAATCTGCAAAATAGTTACAAAATAGCTTTCCTAATATTTCTTTTGATGTTCTGAAGATGAATGACTTGTTAATAAAAGTAAATGATTAATCCTCCCTGTCTGTCTTTCCCAGGCACAGATGGCTGTGTTCAGTTTCATCTGGCCTCATGTGGACAGGACAGTCTGTTGAAGATATGGATTGTTTCTCTTTTGTCTGCTGCAGGTAACACATCTGATACAGTACCTGCCTTTATCTTCCTTCTCTGTCTGTGTATTTAGTGAATGTGTGTGTGATTAATGATGCATGTTGATCCACAGGCATTAAGATGCAGCTCGCTCACACTCTGACGGGTCAGTCCGCTCCGGTTCTGTCCTGTGCTTACTCTGCTGATGGACAGATGTTGGTGTCAGGGTCAGTAACACACACACACACACACACACACACACACACACACACACTTTAGGGCAAATTTTTACTTCAATACAAAAATCATTTTATTAACAAAGAGAAATTAACATCACCTTTAATTTAAAGGTACACTATGTAACTTTCGGTCCTCTAGTGGTTAAAAAACAAAACTGCATGCATTTTGCAGAAGAACATTGTTTTGGTTGTGTGGATAATTATGGTTTACTGTTCATAAAACACTACTTGGCTTAAATGATATTACCAGTTTAGATGGAAAGGATCTCAAGCTGACTAGCTGAAGACGTTACTGTAGCTATACCGATTAATAGACATGGTACTTCCTTAAAAAAATAAAATAAAAAAAATTCTTCATCTTCGCTTTGCTTTTACAACATTTCAAATCTCTCAGTTCTCACCATCTCCGAAAAGCCAAGCCAATGTTGATTCTTGTTTTATTACGAGTTCTCTTTTTGCTCTGTTTGGTGTGATCTCCTCGGGTGATTCCCTAGAGAATCGAGATTTATACTTCGATTTTTACTGTGAGATCACGGGTTCTCCAGTAAAGTTCAGATGTAACGTGTAGCAACGGCTCCACCATAACAAATATAGCAATGTACAGTTAGACATTTTAGTCAAAACTTAAACAAATAATTGGAACAGAATAAAAAAATATATATTGATATAAATATTTTTCTAGTAATCTGCATTAACATTGCGAGTATCAAGGCATGCCATATTTTTTGTCCCAGACTAGTTATCATTTTGTCAATTGTCAATCGCGAGAGTGAATCCTGCATTTATATGTAGATGTCACTTCCAAAACTTTGCAGCATGTATTGGCCATCGGTCCTCTTATCAGCATGAAAAACAATACTGTTAGACCGCCTCGAAAGAGCGCTCACTTTACAATCATTGAAAAGCTGTCACTCATCTCACTTCGCCATCTCACAACATTACATTAAATCAATAAAGTTGTCTACACACTGCATAATGATTCACTTTCTTGCACCCTGTATGCGGTCAATGGATTGTGACTTAAATACCTCTGATTGGACATTGCATTGAAGAGATCAACAAATCTGCATGAACGAATTTGCATAAATTTATAATAATGTATACGTGCTTTTGATGATATAAGTATCTGACAAATTCATTAATGCAGAAAATGTAAATATATATAGATCCTGCCTTGCAGTTCCATTGTTTTCCACTGGATGGTGCTGTGTAATCACAGACACCAGCAAAGAGAAGAGCACCAAGATAGATGAGCGCTGGTCTTGAAGTCTGTTTTGCTAATAATCTCTGATGAAATGGATTTTTCATCCACTATGTGTCAGCAGGCAGACAAGCTCAGTTTTACTGCACATAAAGGCCACGGAGAGCTCGTCTGACTCATGCCTTTTAAATGTCATTTTCTCTTTTCCCACAGATCGGTGGATAAGACCGTGACTGTGTATCAAGCTGTGAGTCTCATTCATATTCATCATTTTCTGTCCAACCAATAAATATAAAAGATGACTGACAGCTCAGCCCACTTGGATGTCTATAACATAACATTTATAACAATGAGTTCTACTTTGCAGAACCAAGGCGTCTTACTTTACACACTTAACCAGCATGACAGGTGAGTTCTGAGTCATGATTTCTGAGGTCTGAACTCTCAGTTCAAGTTGATAAACCCTGGTCTCTTACTGTTGGGCAGGTATGTGACGGCCTGCGCCTTTTCCCCCACGGCACCTCTCATCGCCACCGGCTCCATGGACAAAAGCGTTAATATCTGGAAGGTGGAGGATGGCAGCAGTGCTCAGGGTGGGTTCATTTACAATGAATACGGGTCGGTCCTTTATACACTCTGTAACCCATCTCCAAATGCTTTCGTTTATGGAAGTATTTCTATGCCAGCTTGATGCTTGTATCAATTACATCGTTACGCCAGTAGGTGGAGACTGTTCTGATCATTCATTCATAAGATTCATTCAAAAACGCTGATTCATCCTGTAATGAAACAAGTGAAGTCTTTGTGAGTGAGTTATTGAATCATTCATTTCAACCTATATTTTAAACAAACAATTCATTCAAATTAATTCAATATTTTTAAATAGATTGCAGCAATGAACACCTTATTATTTTGTTTAGTTATCCATACCGAATCATATGAGAATTGTGGTCTGTATTTTAAACACAAAATTGATTCTCAATTAATTCAGAATCGTGCAGCTCTTAATATGTTGATATACTAACAATTAAAAAAAAAAATGTTGTCCATGCATTGGAAGTCAGTGAAAACCCAATTTCACCAATTTCTTCAAAATATCTTCTTTTGTGTTTGCCAAAATAAAGAAAGTCATACACTTTTGGGATGGCAAGTAAATGATGACCATTTTTATTTTAGAGTGGCTTCCTGTTACATATTTTATACATTATATTGAAAGAAATAATGGTGGTATGAAAATACTGCAGAGTAGGAGTGATCCATACACAGAGTGGAAATTACAAAGATATTTCTTTTAAGAACGAATAAAATGATTATTTGCTTTTTTGTCTCGTCATTTCCCCGTGTGATTCGTGAAAACTGAAGGCAAATCTTTTCCTGGTGAGTGTGTGTTATCAGTTTTCGTTGTTTGTTTAGTCTGTAACTAGCAGACAGTGTTGCACATTCTGGCTTTCAGGGGCCCGTTTCAGAAAGGAGGTTAAGTGAAAACTCTGAGTATGTTAACCCTGAAATGAGGGAAACTCTGGGTTTTCCGTTTCAGAAAGGTGGGTATATCAAACCCGAGAAAGCAGAGTAAGTCAAGCCCGTTTCTGAAAGAGAGGTAACTTATACTCAGAGTCAGTTACCATGGTAACTTACTCTGTGAACCTAACCTGGTCGGGAGCAGGTTTTCTTCAGTAAACTCAGAGTTTCTTGCGGTCTCCTCCCCTTTTTTAAAGAGGAAGTGCTGTTTAAACACTAACAATAAAATGTATTTACACATTCTTTAAGGAATATACTGTATATTGTTTGTCCATGTTTTAATTGACTAAATCTGTTTTGCAGCAATTTGCCAAAAAGTAAAAGGATTAAAACGTTTGCTAGACTTTTATTTGATTACCACCATTTTTTATAATATATTTCTATTAAATCATTAAAAAAATTGGAATAAAAAACATTTAATAGAACTCAATTGTTTTTCAAACATAATTTAATAAGTTATTAATGATAAAAATAAGACGTTAATCTTATTCATAATCAATTATTGAAGTTAGTTGATTACATATGTTTTATTGAACAAATGTTTAATTTATTTAACTCATTTTCATTTTAACTGATGATATTAATAATAACCGTAATTTAATAATGCTGTTTATATATTTAATAATTGTTTAATACCATAAACCGTGATATTTTCTGAGACGGTTCTTCTTATACTGTGAAACTCTCATACCCCACATGGGGGAGTCCCGCACCCCACCCCCACTGTTAAACAAGTTACTCAGCAACTTTTACTGTTTTAAATTAACTACTTTTTACTTTTTAGATTTTTAGACTGGTATTTTTTACTTAAGTAAACATGTATCAAAGTAATAGTAGCCTACTTTAGGTTGAATAACATTCTTCCAGTTTCACCTCTGATATTATAACAGTAAGTTACTGTAAAATAGTTATGAATTATTAACCACAAATGACATCTTAAACAGTGTAGTTAGATTAATGTAATACTTACTATCTCTAGAAAGTATTGGTCTACATATTACTAAATCCTATATCAACTACTTGATTAACACAAAGAGAAGAGACAAGAAACGGCACTTTTAATTCTTTCAGATTAACAATATACAATTGCATGAATTATTCTTGAATTGATCAAAGTGTGTAGAGGGAGAAGGTTACATAAAACATATAACTTTTAAAAATGTATGTTAAATGCACTATTGTTTTATACTGAATTGTTCTATAGTTTATGCAGTAGCTTTTTTAATGTAATTGCATCATATTTTATTTTAAATTACAGAAGAATTAAGAGTAACCCCCTTAATTAAATTACAATATTTAGATCACTTGTTAATTAATTACACCTAACACCTCTTTTTGTCTGGCGCTGTTGCCATGGTGACTTATAATATCTGCGCTCCATTGATAATGGCTTTTTATAGTTGTGGTGCACGCGCTTAACTCAGAGTCAGTCAACTCAGAGTTGATTGAACTAACTCATTTCAGCTGTTCTGTAACCGAAAACTCAGAGTTTCCCATCTCAGGGTAAGTCAACTCAGAGTTCAAGCTTTAACTCAGAGTTGGTTGAGCCTCCTTATTGAAACGGGCCCCAGGGCACACACAAAAAAAAAAAGAAACACTTGACAACAAAACTACAAACTGAGAAGTGTTTGTATTGTTCTGATACACTGCTAAAGCTTGTGTTTACTGCTGTTACGAAGCTCAAGAGATTAATCCAGTATAACATAATATAATAGACATAATGTACTAAAAGCATGGCGGCTGCTTGTAACCTAAAATCTGTCACTAAATGATGTGAAATGATCAAGGAGTCAAGCCCATTTTAATGTTCAGTTATACTTGTGTTCCTCATTTCAGATGAAGCTGCTTCAGTCTCCAGCAATGAAGGTAAGAGAAATCTAGATCATAAAATATATATACTTTTTATGAATTATTGTGTTTATACCTGTGTTTAAGCTAAAGTGGTAAAACTTTGCTCTAGCAACACTTGTACTGATAGAAAAAGTATACCTTGAATGCACAGCAAGTGCATTCAAATAATAAATTATGTCAGTCTTGATTTTGTTTTTGGGGTTTACCTGACTAGGTTTTTTTGCAGCACCTCTTTAGTTCCTCTCTGTGAAGCCCCTCCTACCAAAAAAGCCCTATGTGCTCTGATTGGTTGACTGTAATAGTGTGTTGTGATTGGTCATCTGCTTCAAGCGTTTCGGAAATGTCACACCGCTTACCATAACCGTGAGTTTCAACACAATATAACTCAACTCAACCGAGCCTTGCCCTTTTTTGCACGTCTTGGGCAGGAATTATTAAAATTAGGAACATTGTCACAAGTACTATCGAGGGGTTTCAGAGAGTTTACTGATATAGAGAATAACTCCCTATAGAGTGAACGTTGTGCTTTGTAACGTTGCAGAGCTCAAACAGCAACAGTACACAATAAAAGTTGAAAATGTAAATCTCACACTATTGTTCTAACACTGCTGGCTGCTACCATGTTCAATAATTACTCATTGTGAGTCAGAGACACAGGAGAGGTGTAGTATCAGACCGAATACACAAACAGGAAAGAGAATGAGATGTATTCCTCTCTCGTCCTTCAGAAGTTTCTCTGGGGTGATGGTTCACAGCTGCAGATTCAGTCCAAACACACAGTGAGCTCTGGTGGGCTTTACATACTCCGACTGGTTTAACTGCTTGTGTGTGAAAGAAATCTGATGAGATCTACATTATGAATAACAAAATAACATCTCACACACGCTAGGAACTCAGAAGTACTGCGAGTGCGAATGATCTGACTGCATCCGGAGCGGATACATGGTGTAGAACGTTCCACCTCATGATTTATGCATCACATGCAGTGAGAGAAGAGTTGACTGCATTCTTATTAACTATTCACTCTTGATCTTCAGCTTAATTCAGCATTAGTTTTGATGAGACGTTTAATCACATATAATAATGTTCATGATTAAAAAAAGGAGCAGTTAAAAAAACATTTTCTTTTAAATGTTCAAATATTAATATGCTCTACGATAGGTTTGTTAATATTGTTTTTTTTTCTTCTAAGAAATATAGTAAAACATTATGCCCAGTAATTCAACTTTTAATTAATTTAATTTAAAATTAATTAATTAATTTTAATTAAATCTTTATCTTTTAATCTTTCACATCATCATCATTAAATGGTAACGCTTCCTTTTACAGTACAGTATTAATAGTGTACTTACCTAGAAAGTACTGGCTAATATAAGGTAAGTACATGGAACAGGGGTAGGTTCAGGGTTAGTACTAGTTATTACCCAGTAATTGTAGTTACTAAAATAAGTACATAGTATTTACATGGGTAACTGGACTGTAAAAGGAAGCGTTACCCATTAAATCATCAGGACGGTTGTATCTTTTTAAAGGGATACTCCACCGTTTTTTCACATTAAAGTTATTCCCTTAAGGGAATAACATAGTGGAGTATCCCTTTAACTTTATTTTTTGAATTTTACGGAGCCCCCCTAGTCCCACTTTGGCCAAAAACTATAATTATAAATAACTCGTGGCCTCAAGATAGTAACTCGTGGCCTCAAGATAGTAACTCGTGGCCTCAAGATACTAACTCGTGGCCTCAAGATACTAACTCGTGGCCTCAAGATAGTAACTCGTGGCCACAAGATACTAACTCGTGGCCTCAAGATAGAGTTAGTATCTTGAGGCCACGAGTTACTATCTTGAGGCCACAAGTTAGTATCTTGAGGCCACAAGATAGTTATAATGATTTTTTTTTTTGCCAAAGTGGGACTAGGGGGGCTCCGTAGAATTTCATTCATTTTTTAAAGTTTTATTTTTGGCCTTCTATTAGACAGGACAGCGTAAATGAGTCAGGAAACATTGGGGTCAGGGTCTGGAAGTCTGGGATCAAACTGTAGTACCCGGAGGCGCAGCTGCATTATATGTCACACTGCTTCCCACAAGGCTTTTGCTCTGACATGAATTGCACTTTTTAGTAAATTAGTAGATAATAGTATGCAATCATGTCATTGACCCATACCTTGGTAACACGTGTCCTGTTGCTGTCGCTCAGGAAAGAAGTCACGTGGACACTCCAGACTGATGGTGAGCGAGTGGTCTGAGGAAGATGTGTTGGCATGGTTACGTGAGGAGGGGCTGGAGGCAGTGATTGACGTGTTTAAATCCAATAACATCGATGGAGAGGAGCTGCTCTCTCTCACCAAGGAAACCCTCAGCTCTGAGCTGCACATTGGTAAAATGACAAGCACGCATTACTCAATATTGGTATTCGTGTCAGACCTTGCTTTTAGACTCTGGATGTCTACTTTATGCATGTACTCAATTTAGGACTTTACATCAATAATACTGCAGGAATGACCTTTAAGTGTGTTACCTCAGCTGATGTCATGAGGAGTTATATAAAAATAATGTGGATTTCACCATGTCCCTTATATATTACCTAACAGGAAATCTTGATTGGGTCATGTTTTTTTTTTTTAGGGAAAATCATGCAAAAAGTGGCCAACATAAGAGCTAATCCTAGAGATTGTGGGGAATGTAAACATGAGATTTGTTGAGTTATGTAAAGTACTTGACTGTGTTGTGTGTGTCCAGAAAAGAGTGTGTGAGCATTAAAGCTGATTAGTTCCACTTTGGCCCTAAAACCAGCAGCTAGTTACATGAGAAATCCCATCCTAATTGTGCACTTCTGAAAAAAGTTAAAATAAATAAATAAATAAATCGATGTCCAGCTTGCTTTGACCGTAAAATCACCCCATTTCATTTAGCCTGACGTTTGAACAGACTTGATTACTTTGAGGCCCACTGTGAAGGCAGTACATTAGCAGAAATGGACATGAGTCAGTCCAGTTACCACTATAGTCAGATGCAGATAGTTTTGACCGTGGCGTGTGGTGGGCTGCTGAATTGAGAAGGCAAAGTGCCAGAAATGTTCAAGGGGTGAGCCTTCATAAAATAGGGTAGAGTATGAAAACAGCTCGCCAAATTACCAAGAAAAAAAAATGAATCGCAGCAGTTTCAAGTTCAAAGTTTCAAAAGGACAACCTATAAAAACTACACTGTAAAAAATGTCACTTATTTCAACTTAGGTTCTGTTGCTGCTTCAAATTAAAGCGACAGTTCGGCCAAAAATGATATTTAACCCATGCATTACTCACCCTCAAGCTGTTCGAGATGCATACGTCAATCTTGTTTCAGACGGTCAAATTACTCACCCTCAAGCCGTTCGAGATGCATATGTCAATCTTGTTTCAGACGGTCAAATTTTCAGTTATTTTAGAAAATGTCTTTGACCCTTCAGTGGATATAATGTGAAGAAATGGGGACCAGCTCCTTCAAGTCCCCAAAATGTGCACGTCCTTCACAAAAGTAATCCATCCGGCTCCAGTGGGATAAACGAAGGCCTTCTGAGGGTAATCCGTGCGGTATTGTCGTAAAAATATACATATTTAAATCTTTATAAATGAAAATATCTGACTTCCGGCAACGATCGACGCACGTTCACGGGTCATGGAAGTCGGCGTGCTTAGCGTAGGAACCGTCGTGACGTCGCGACGTTTCTTGCCGACTTCCATCACCCGTGAACGTGCGTCGATCGTTGCCGGAAGTCATAGACATATACACTAGACCTCACCTGGGGGTTCTAAGCATGCGTCAAAACCGCCGCCATCTTGGAACAGGGGTCTTGTCATAGGAAGTAGCTAGGTAACGCTGCTATCTCTGCCTTTACTTCGAATTCATTGATGGTGGCGGACTTTTGTGCAGCGTATGAAGTTCACGGATGAAATCTGAACTAGGAAGAATGTTTTTAAAAAAAAAAAAATTATTATTTTTTTTTCTTTCTGGAATCAATGATAAATACATGTCTGACCGTTGGAACAAACCAAAAAAAAAAAACAAGAAAAATCGCATTCATGATGATTTATGGTGATTTTATTTGCGTTAGACCTGTGTCTACTACATTGACGCTGATGCATTAAAGTGGAGGGGCTCCCCTGTTCCAAGATGGCGGCTCTATTGACGCATTCGTTCTAATGAACTGCCGTATCCAAGGTGAGGTCTAGTGTATATGTCTATGGCCGGAAGTCAGATATTGTCATTTATAAAGTTTTAAATATGTATATTTTTCCGACAATACCGCACGGATTACCCTCAGAAGGCCTTCGTTTATCCCACTGGAGCCGGATGGATTACTTTTGTGAAGGATATATGCACATTTTTGAGACTTGAAGGAGGCGGAGCTGGACCCCATTTCTTCACATTATATCCATTGAAGGGTCAAAGACATTTTCTAAAATAACTGAAAATGTGTTCGTCTGAAACAAGATTGACGAACGGCTTGGAGTGAGTAATGCATGGGTTAAATAAATCATTTTTGGCCGAACTATCTCTTTAAGTATAATGGCATTAGTTGTTTTCAACTTAAATTATATTAAAACTGACTTAAAATCAAGTTGAATCTCGTATAACTTATTAAAGAGAGAGTTGAAATTGCTTAAAGGTAGGGTAGGTGATTTTTTTTTTTTTTTTCATTTTTTCTGGAGCGGCTAGCAATAGCAAGTTATCTTTGAAAGCATGAGAGCCCACCCTCCCTTCAGAGCGTCTCCAAAGCCACATCTCCTTCAAAACACATGAACGCACACAGCAGAGTTTGCAAAGCTTCACGAGACAAGACCTGACTGCTGCAGGTTTATTTTGCTGTTGATAGTGTTTTCATTGAACTGAGCGTCACACTTATCTGTGATTGGATGTGTTTTGAAGTGTTCTTGTGCTCTCTCAGAGTCTCTGGGCCTGCGGAGTAAAATCATGAAGAAGATCGAGGATTTGAAGATGGCACCCGTCTCTAACGGCACCCCCGACGAGTACCTCTGTCCAATCACACGCGAGATCATGAAGGACCCAGTGATCGCTGCTGGTGAGCGTCTGAGAGGTGTTGACCTGCTTGATGGACAATTAGTTTTGAGTTTAAGCGTTTCGTGGTTGTTTTCTGCCTGCAGATGGCTACTCATATGAACGGGAGGCCATCGAGAGCTGGATCAGCACAAAGAGCCGTACCAGTCCTATGACCAACCTGCCCCTGCAGACCACCCTGCTGACACCCAACCGCACTCTGAAAATGGCCATTTTCCGATGGACCACTTGTCAGTGAGCTCTGATAATACTGATCCTAGATCAAGTCAGGCGAGTAAGACTTCACTGTGAATACATGTAGGTTAAGTGCAAGTACCAGGTTTTTGTATGCTATGCTGATACACAAGCTAACTAATACAGACATAAATAGTCATTATAATGTAGTTCAAACAGCTTTATCGTAACATTATTTTGTGTGAATTGTAATCAGAGTACCTATTAAAAGTTATTTGATTCGCTTGGGGTCGTAACAGAGACCTGATTTTGTCACCACACCAGGTTCAGATGAGTACTAGAATTAGCATTAAGCTAGTATAACCATTGTTTATTTACACAAAAGTCCCTTTCAAGGAAAGTGCGTTTACTCGGCGGCCATATTTGCAGTGCCTCTGGGGAGCTATTTCAGGCATGCAAAACCAAATACTATCTATTTGAATAGGGGAATCCTGAAATCTCAAAAACTGCTTGGCGAACTCACAATTACATAACATATTTAAAATCAGCAACAAAATCTGACATAAACTTTCCCATAAATGTCAAATAGCATTAAAAAACTAATTTTTCAGGATAGACTAGGCAATGATGGGAGATTCATGCCGTCATCCATCAGTAAAGTGATGGTAGTTGTCACGTGCTGATTGAAGAGTAAGTGGTTTAAATGATTCTCCATCATAACACAGCAGTGTTGAGTGGCCTTAAACATCATAATAAATGTTTATCATCCCCTTTCTGCGCAGTAGCGCACAGATTGCTGGCGTAATTATAGCACATAATCATGATTCCTCCTGCGGCCGTTCTGTATCTCCCATCATGACTCATGTTTGAATACAGGTGAAATTCTCCAGCTGATTTAGTCTTGATGCTATTAATCATTTAAAGTCTATAATGTTGCTTGTATTAAATAGTCCACATACTTAAAATCAGGTAGGCTATGGATTTATTAGTGGATACTTGTAACCCGTTCAGTGACTGGATTTCATGGCTTTACGATGTAACCATATGTATATTACTGTATATAAGAGCACTGTTAAGAGACCCATTTGATGATCATGCAGCAGTAAAATCAACCTGTTGAACAACACTTTTGGCTTGAGATTCATTTTAATATTGATTAATGATGCTTGCTTAGGATGCATGAATCACTGGAGTTTCAAACAAATATCTAACCTAAGTATTAAAGAATAGAATAAACAGAATGATATCGCCCGCTGGTGTGGACCCTTAGTTATCTTTATAGTTCTCATTCTTGGTGTAAACGGGTCTGTAACGTCACTTTTCTTTCTACTGCACCGTCATTTATCAACATGGATCAACACGATCGTCTGAGGTTAGAGAGCACAGAACAGTTTACACTAATTAATTCCCTTACCTTTGCCCAACAAATAAGCAGTAAGCATCATTACTAAGGTTTTTCTCCATCATCAAATCTTTCCACCTTTTTGTGTATGGTGTATATTTTTATGCTCATTTTTTACATCTGTCTTTAGACCTTTTCAGATTCTACGGACGTTGAGGTACCTACTGATTCTCCCATTGTCTCCGCTAGGAAAGCACAATAATATACTATAATAATAGACTATATGCCATCCATACTACCACAGAGGCGGCAGCCAATGAGCTTGAGGTAACAATGCTTTCAAAACAGATGCAGGAAATATAAAGGTGCATCATCTCACTCTCCAAATAAGCGCCCTGTCGAGTCACGGTGCAGAACTCCTAAGTTGGCCAAAGTGGAACTAATCAAATGTATCCTTCGCGGCCTTAAATCACCCACAATCCTTTGCACACATTTAAATTCAAGAAAATAAACTGATGGAAAACGAGTTTATTATGAAATTTAAGAATGTTTTCAGACATGAAACTGCTAATAATGTAAGACGGCTGTCATTCACTGTATCGCATTACAAATTTTTATATTAAGCGTCTTCCAACATTAAGTTGAACTATTTTCGTGACGTGACGAAACGTGTGGCATAGACTTAACTAGACCGTCTCATTGTGACTTTTAATGCTGAGCACTCAAGCTTAAAAGCCTCAGAAGGACTGGACTATGAAGCACACAACCTCCTGTTTGAGAAGCACCCACCTGGTGAATACCGTATCAATATGTATGGTATTTCCGTCACCAGGTTTGGCGTTATCTTGTTTCACATTTAGATTGATGCAAAAGATCCGATTTGAGCAGCCAAAGTGTCCAGACTGAGGCCCCGTCCACACTACTGCGTTTTCGTTTAAAAACGGAGACCTTTTGCTACGTTTGCACCTCCCGTCCACACTAAAACGGGAAAAACGAAGACCTAAAACGGAGAAGTTTAGAAACGCTGCAGCTGCGTTTTGCGTTTTGAATCTCCGGAGTGCGTTTTAGTGTGGACGAGACAAAACCATACAAAACGGAGAACTTTAGAAACGCTGACGCAGAGGCTGACGCTTGGCTCTATGATTGGGTGTTATCAGTCATGACGCATCCTTCCCTGATTCGTCATTCACTGTTTACACCGGCACGCGCATGCCCAGTGTTGGTGAATGGTCACGTAATCTGCGTTTTCAGTCGTTTTAATGTGGACGGAGATCGTTTCTAATACGCAGATAAAACGCTGGTGTGGACGGAGATCGTATTCGTTTTAATTCTCCGTTTTTAAACGAAAACGCAGTAGTGTGGACGGGGCCTGAGACACATATGTAAAAACCTGATTAGAATTGCAATTTGAAAAAAAAAATAATAATCCGATTTCATGCGTTTCATGTTGTCCAGGCCTTAAAACAAGAGAGAAATGTAATGCACTAAAATAACCGAAGTCTTAAACTGGGGTTTATTGTATATGATGCTGAAATATTCAAATACAATTCATAACAGCCCTATACATAAAATTAATTGCAAATAATGTACATATGAAATAACATCTGTCCTCATAGACACCTGAATATGGTTCATCATAACATGCATGTAAACCTGGTGTCCTTTATACAGTTCATGTCAATCTCACAATCATAGTTGTATTTCATAATATTTAGCTGTGCAAAAATAACTAATATATAAAATATAATATTGTTTTAATCAGGCAACCAAGCCATAAATAAATCAGTCAAAACAGTGAGTAAGTTATGAAGCAATACAACAGATTTCCCAAAAGAAATACTCACACAAACAGACTCATCACCATTCAAACGTGAAATGCTTTTGAATACACATAGTACTGGTCCACGATCGAGTGTTTCATCTGGGTAGACGTCCTATGTCCTTACTGAAGTCTAAAGTCAGGTATCTTAATACATTTACACATCATCTGCATTCTGCATTATAGCTCTGTTCTCTTTTAATGTGCGGACGCAGCGCTGCGCATTCAAACATGTGCTTAAATACCTCTGAAGCTGTACTTGTAAACGGAAATGCAAGGCAATCTTTAACTCGTGTGCGCTTACCTGGAGCACTCACAAAAATACTTTGAATTTAGTCTTCAAAACCCGACTCAAACGACGTTGAGTTTGTTGATGAAAACCGAGCCCCCAATATTAAAGTCGTAAGATTGTAAATAATTTGCGCTCTAGTTTTTAGCTACACGTTGGACTCGATAAAGGAGCGTTTCGGTTTGATGGAGCTGATCAGGATGGGGTTGTCCCGGGCCAGGCTGGCCTGCTTGAGCTTGGTGTCGTTGTAGTGCTGCTGGAGGGGGTTACAGTCCTTGTATCCGTGTCCAGGATGAAACTCGGGCGTATGAGTGCTGTTATGGACGGGCTCCTGATACGTGTTCATTTTAGCGTATTGGAGGTCACTAGTCAGTCCTTGCGAGTGCGTGTTCATAACACTTACGTTGTGACCTACGAGGCCTTCTGGCACAAGTCCCTGCCAGCCGTAACTGGACACCAGGTTGCCATGGTGACCTTGCAGCTGCAGCTGCTGCTGGAAACGTGCAGTCTTGTCAATGACACCCATAAAGGGGCGTGGCTTATGCTCCGATTGCCTCGTGCCGCTGTCGGGAGCGCTAGCCACAGAATTGCGTACGCGGCTGGTCTCCGTCAGGTTTCCGCTGGAGGAGCTGGACACTCTCACGCTGCTGCTCCTGCAAAATTCCCCCCTTGGCTCAACGCTGGCTTCGGCCTTCTCAGCGTGTCCAAACTGAATGGCGCCCTCTCTGGTACCACCCCTCTCAGCGCCGCTTATGTCAATGCAGGGCCCTGCTCGGAGTGAGGTGGGTCGGTGGCGGCTCGGCATGGGGCTCGACCCGGCACTCTGGGGCGGCCTGCCCTCGATGTGTAGCGAGCTGCTGTACTCGCGGTTTTTCATGCTTTGAGCCTGTCTGGACGGAAGGCGCCTGTGGGCGGCCCGCCCCGGGGCAGCTGCTGAGACGGCAGACTGGGCACCCGATATCGCCAGGCCTAGAGAATCGGGCAAGGTGCGGCTCTGATGCCAGCTCTCCTTCCTCTTCTCCTGCCTAGAGGATTCTTGTTCACGCCGCTCCTCCTCTTCATCTGCCTGCAACATGTTTATGCTCAGGCTGTCTGGGCTTTTCTCCGAACTCTCAATGTCTTGGTCATCTTCGTCATCTTCCTCGTCATCGTCTTCCTCGTGGTGTGAGGGGTTGGCGTGAGAGGTAGGGTGTTTAGAACCCTGTCGCTGCAGGTGTTGGGACTCTTCCTCCACGCGAGCCAGCAGACGTCGGATCTCTCGGTTGCTGGGACACAGACGTGCCGCTTCATGAAGATCAGCCAGCGCAGCTGCAAACTGCCTGAGAGAGTGGAAAGGAATTGGTAAATATTTAATCATTATTATGTGCACTATATGGTTTAGATCCACTGTATGCTTTCTCTCTGTAAACCCTGTGAGCTTCCTCACTGCCTACTTCTATCATGGGCAGCAGTCTATTTCAGGGGTACTCTGGCCCTCGAGGTCCCCTCGAGTTTTGCTCTAGCTTGTTCAGGTGAGTTTCATCAGGGTCAATCTAAAGGGGGTCGCACACCGGACGAGAAGCGCAGCGCCATGTCTTTAAAATGCGAACACATTATTCTCTATGAGTGTGCACACACCGGCGGCGCCATTCGGCGTCTGTCCACAGCGCCCAGCTACGGCTAAGAGCCTTGTTCAAAACCCTTCAGAGCGCCATTTTCATAGTTTTATATTAAATTCACATTTATTTGTCTCAAATCGTCATTAATGTAGCCTACATGGCTTCACCCTGTTTTTTCACTCGGGTTAGCTAAACGCTAGCTAAATAAATACTATTGTATTTTGTGACAGTTGCCTAGACAACGGATAACTTTACAACAAAATAACAGACTTAACGTGATAGACACTTTTACTTGATTAACGTTCAAACATCAGCTATTATTCAATCAACATAAACAAAATAAATAAAGTTAAAACTCGCACATCATGCAGCTCTTCTACCAGGAGTGGATTCAAAATTGAGCTTGCGCGCTCTGTGTGCGATACCTGGAGTTGTACTAGACGTGGCGCGGCACTGCGCTGCGCTTCTCGTCTGGTGTGTGGATACCCCCATAAGTCCCCCCGGTGTACCCGCTTAAGTCTTCAGGACAACTATTAAGTTACAGGTAGTTGAGTTTGATGAAGGTTGGAGCTCAACGCTGCAGGAAAGGGAATCTTGAGGGCCAGAGTTGAGAACCGCTGCTCAACAAACAGAATCTTTAACCACAATGGACCTTATAAATGACTAAGACTCTTATTACAGGCAGCAACTTTAAAGCGACTGGTTACCATTTAAAGCTGATTTGGAAGTTAGCATTTTTGCTAAGCTAACAACTATCCCATAACAGGCAAAACTGGCCAGAGTCTTGCACGTGGGCAGTTATCTGCAGGTACCCGACAGATGGACCAATAAAATCTGATGAAACGGGAGGAAAATATTTACCTGGTCATTTGCTGTGCGGGTCGGGAGTCAATAGGCACAGGCAGACTGCGGGTTAAATAGCCAATGTTATTTTCTGTACCGGCTGATACAGGTAGGTACTGTAGGCAGCTGCTTTCAAAAACTCCCCTGCATATTTGTGTTTACGCTATGAAGAGTGTCAAAGACTTGAAATTTGAGCTTTATAGCCAATCGAGAGCATGAACGCAAAAGGACAATCGCAGAATCCTCTCGCACAGGACTCCAATGTGAACAATAGTCAGAGAGGCGTATGTGTTAATCATTCCTCATGTTTACAAAGCCTGTCCTGTGTTTAGATTTCAGCAATAAATACTCAAGAATTAACCTGTGCTAGTCAACAGAAGCACACAGACTTGCACGATCACTGCACATTAGAATGCCGTTTCAAGGCATTAGCGTTGTACTTTAATTGAATCACGTGAGGGACTGAGTGGATGACGGCTCACAAATATTCTAACAAATGTGCGCAGTGATTAACTACAAGAAATCAAAAATGCTACTTAATAACAAAAAGGTTACAACCCCTGTCCTATAATACGCACTACTATAGTTAAATCACACTGAAATATTGGGTGAAAAAATAAACTGTCATTTGATGGCACTACTTTTTCAAATGAAAAACAAAATCCTTTGGCCTGGCCCAATATTGATGTCTTGATTCTAATTTTCGATATCGGGACTTTCAAGTTGCCTTATAAATAAGTTTAAAATGGGTTGCATTATTAGAGGGTAGCAAAGTGTGATTGTTGCAGCTGTTGGATTTGGTTGTTGCAGTGAGGTGCCATACATGTTGACTTTAGTACAATGACAATTTATAATACAATTTAGGCTAATAAAAGTTACACTAACCTGCAAAATAGCTTTTTTAAAGATTGCTGGAAACGTATACGACACATTAGTAGTTCATGACTCCATTCAAGTTTGATTCAAGTTTAAAAAATAACCAAAGATGATTCAATTGTTCAGACAACTCGACAAAGTCCATGAAACAATCCAGTGACCCCTGTATTGCATTTCATCCAATTCGCGAACTGGGTGAACTGATTCATTATAATGAGAACTGCACAAATGGAGAGTTTTGTTAAGCCTGGAACACACCAATCCGACGATCGGCCGTCAGGCAGTTTTTGAGCGTCGGCCGACTAAGTCTTCTTAGTCTTCCGTGCCGTCGGCTGAAATTGGTCCTCGTCGGCTTTGCTTCGGCCAATTCGACATGTTGAATCGCCGTCGGGCCGTCGGTGAAAGAGCGAACTCTGATGGGCTGTTCAGCTTAGTGAACGAGTCAGTGCATGAGAATAATAGCAAAACACAAGCAAAGAAGTCAAAACGGTACACTAAACGCGCTTTTCCACAACACAGTACTAGCTCGACTCGACTTGGCTCTCCTTTGTTTGGTTTTCCACTGTGTAAAAGTTGTACTTGTACCTGCTTTCGGGTACTTTTTTTAGGATCACCTCTGGCGAGGTTCTGAGCGCGCTAAGGCGAGCTGAGGCGATACTAAAATGTGACGTGAAAACAATGCCGACTGCTGATTGGTCAGAGAGAATCGTCATCATTACACACGCCCGATGGAGTATCCAGAATATCCCCACTATGTTGAAATAGTTCGGCCAGAGATAGTTACTAAACTTACTAGTATTATTATGGCAACTCGGAAGAATACGCCGTGGTCAAACGAGGAGGTGCAGACTTTCCTTTGTTTGGTTGCCGAAGAGAGGATCCAGCGAGAGCTTGATAGGGCAGCGAGAATCGAAAGGCGTTGCTATGACGACCGGGGTACTATTTGTGGCGGTACTGTATGCAATGGAAAACGGTGCGAAAAGCGAGCCGAGTCAAGTCGAGGCGAGCTGGTACTGGTAATGGAAAAGCGCCATTAAGGCTGTTCATATGTTACGTAATGTTCCTTCATATGTTACTATGTTACTACTTCGTATATGTGTTCCTTGGCAAATATGTCAATATTAAAATAAGCAGAGTGGAATAAATATATTGTTAAAGATATTGTTTAGCAGGATTAATATTCAAAACGGTAAGCTTTGTTTACGGTGTGTATTTGCAGCATCGGTTTCCCTTTTCGAATGACGAATAAAGACGAATATATCTGCAGAAATAGACAGTTGTCTCATTTACACGCTGCATTCTAGCTGACAGTCGGCAGTAGTTCTCTCGGTGTGTTCAAGTGCAGCTTTTTACCCCGACGCGAGGCGACAACACAGTCGGCTTTCATCAGCGCTAGTTCGCCGGCGTCGGCTTGGTGCGTTCCAGGCTTTATATGTTCGGTTTCGTGTTCAGACAGCAAGGACAATGGAAGTGTTTCACTCTTATCAGAAACAATTCACATGCTCTTTACCTGCTGCTCCTTTTGGCTCTGGCACGTGCATAAAATGCCTCATAGGACTTTGGTTTGAGCTCGAGAGCTTTGGTGGCAAACTCCTCAGCCATGCCAAAATCCTGTCAAGAACAAATGTGAAAGGAAGAAGTTGCGTGACAAGAAGAAGGGACAGCGGGGAAAAATGGGAACTAATCAAGTTTTCAGCAAGTTCAACTCCGTCTTAATTAGACCCATGAGATTGATTAGTGCACTCATGGCAGCCTTGCTGCATTCTGGTACTGATGCGTGCATACTAAGGCTGGAGTCCCTCTTTCTGCTCTCATGCATGAATCTGTAATCAGGAGTCTCTCGTTGAAATTCCGTCCTTGAGTCTGAGGTCAGAGACTCAATGAGGAGCCATAACTGTCAGCCCTAATGATGCACTTTAAATGTTTAATGGTGGAAGATCCTATTAAAATAACCATTAGAACTTCAGGATGCATGTGTAATTAGGAAACACGTAGCAGGACTCTCTCTCTATCGCTCTCTCGCATTCACATAATCTGCCTCCTAATTGCACTCAAAACACTTTTATATACAGCCTGTGAAGCTCTTCTCCTCAACCTAGACCATTACAATTATCCTGGAGAAGATGAGCGTGCATGTGATCTACTGTATATAAAATGCCTACAGCCATTTGTTTGTTAATACACACAGAGGTGTATTAGCATCCAACATTTGTTAGTGATGTTATCAAAGACTTTAACCTCTATCCACTGAAGTTGGGCATATACTCATGTGACATACGTTGGTTTTGCGGCGGCAGCGGGACAGGTTGAGATAGAGGGAAACCCGGAGCTCCCTGAATGCCTTCAGGTCTTCCCCGAAACCTTCCCTAGGAAACTTCCTCAGTGCATACTGATACCTCTGAGCAGCTTCCTTCATCTTTCCTTTCTGAGAACGAAGGAGAGAAAGAACACATGGAGAAAAGGGAAAAAGCCAGTCTCAGAGGACCATGCAAATTTACCATAGAGATTATTGTTCATGTAGTTTTTGTTGTAAGAACATAGTAACTACAAGTAAAACCACTAATTACTCTTCGATCATTGTAATTGTGGTTTCTGAGAGCTAAAAACTCTTGGTACCCCGAGGGATACTAGTATTTGATGCTAGTTGTTGGCAGTGACTGACCTTATAAAGCAGGTTTCCCTCCTCCATGAGTCTCTGCAGAAGTATGATGAGGATGTCCGGTTTGGAGGTGGCCATGGCCCAGGCAGCGTTACCTTCAAGAGATAAAGAGACATCAGTCCTGACAGTCAATAAAACACAGAACGATTCAGAGAAGAGAGACTCTCCTAATGCTTGTACCTGATCGCTCATAAGGAGATGTTCTGTAGCCTTTAGCAGTGAAAGTGACAGCGGTACAGAAAGAAAGAAAAAAAGAGAAAGCGTAAAGAATAAATGCAAGGAAAAAACTCAAGAAGAATAGATGTGTGCTGAAATTGGGAAGGAATACACACTACCATCAAAAGTTTGGGGTTGGTATGATTTTTTTAATGTTTTTGAAAGTCTCCATACTCTCCTGTATTTATTTGATCAAAAATACAATACAACATTTTTCTATTTTTAAACATATTAAAATGTAATTTATTTCTGTGATGGCAAAGCTGTCTTTTCAGCAGCCATTACATCACAGCAATTGCTCTAGGGTATGGCAAGCTGTTTTAGCTTTTATTAATTTCTTTTATCAATTTAATTGTTGATATCAAGAATTGAATTCTTGATATCAACAATTGAATTCTTGATCTCAAAAATGTAATTGTTGATATCAACAATTTAATTGCTGATATCTGTAATTGTATTTTCACTAGTGAAATGTCACCATAGGCTGCCATTCAAAATGAATTGTTGATATTAAGAATTCATTTTTTTTACTAGTAGAAATATAATTTTGATATCAATAATTACATCGTTACTAGTAAAAATGTGAATTCCTGATATCAATAATTAAATTGTCACTAGTTGAAATGTCTATTCTTGATAACAATTCAATTGTTACTAGTACAAATTATCATTTTTGAATAATTCTATTATTTCAGATATCTAAAATGGCTTTCTTACTAGTAACAATCACATTCATGATATCAGAAATTAAAATTTTCACCAGTAAAAATGTAATTATTGATATCAAAAATGAACATTGTTACTAGTAGAAATTCAATTGTGGATATCAAGAATAGACTTTTCAACTAGTAACAATTGAATTCTTGATATCAAAAATAAAGGTTTTTACTAGTAATAATTGTATTTCTGATATGTGAAATTGGAATTTCAACTAGAAAGAAATCAATTCTTGATATCAACAATTGGTTTTGAATGGCAGCATATGGTGACATTTCACTAGTGAAAATACAATTGTTGATATCAAAAAAGTAATTGTTGGTATCAAGAATTTAATAATTCATATCCTGGAAATGAATAAAAGCTAAAACGGCTTGCCATACTAGGGTCACATGATCCTTCAGAAATCATTCTAACATGCTGGTTTTCTGCTCGAAAATGTTTCATATTATTATCAATGTTCAAAACAGTTGTGCTGCTTATTTTTTCAGGATTCTTTGACAAATAGCAAGTTCAAAAGTATTTGATCAATTTGATGGCTCCTTGCTAAATAAAAGTATTGATTTCTTTAAAACAAAAATCATACAGTCCTTTTTAACAGTAGTGTATACATTGAAAAAATGAAGTTAAGCAATAAGGTTGTTATCCACGTAGCCTCGAGTGCCTTTTATAAATCAATTGCTACATAAGACAAATTAAAAAATATACCAAATCATTATATTTAAGAAGCAAATGTGCCATCCTTCCATTAACATATGTAATTCCTAGCATGTAATCTGCAGCTAATAAAGAAACTAAGCAAACTTGTGACTATATCATGCATTTGAAAACAGCTGGAATAATACATCAACCAATCAGCATTCAGGAATAACTTGGTTTATTATGCCAAAATAAGTTAAAACTGCTACTTCATAACAGAACTACAGTAACTAAAGGGTAAAACTATTCATTGGCAGACTTTCTAAAACAGCAAACCTCTTGTGATGGTTTGGATGCAAGCAGGAGATCTAAAAAAAATGGAAACTAGATATTTTTGCTTGTCCTGCAGTATTACTTGTATACCAAGGGGAAATGAGCATACAAAAAAAATGTGCTAACCTCTATATTGCTCCCTTCTAGTGGCTAACTGGAAATCTCTGCTAATGCTAATTTAAAGCATGGGTTATTTTTCAGCGGTTATGGAGATTTTTCTTTCCTCACAGGAGCTCCACACAGGAGCTTTTCTGAACCATGTCTAGTGTGTAGTCAAGACAAATCACACCACAACGTCATTAAAACGCGTCTGGCAAAGTCATTGCCATCATCAACCTCAGACTGGTAAAGACAGTCGCCGTTTCAGATGTAATAAGATGTTTTTAAACTGGAGGGGGAATTTGTTCTCTTAAGGTTTGCACTCTGTGACTTTGGGTAGAAAGCTGAGTGGACTTCGCTATAAAAGTCTTTGCCCGGTCGCAGAGCGTGAATGACAGTCCCATACATCACCAGCGTCCTACTTAACTGTGGGCTAACCGTCCTGCGTGGCTCTGCTGCGAATATGGCCTGGTTTCAATTGCATTTAGGACTCAGCAAAGGAACACTGTGCTTTTACTATCCGAGAAAAGGGGAGAACAAATGGAACTCGCCACATTCTAGATTTAGAATGGAAAAAACCCTCTTGAGAACCTGACTGTGGTGATCTAGATTCTAGAGGACGGCACTTGAACCCATGAGAGACATGAATAATGTGTGTCATGATGTTCTGAGGTGAGACTCACCCAGTTTAGCCCCTTTCTTCAGCAGAGTGACCACGACTGAGGTGTTTCTGCTACCGATGGCCCGGTCCAGAGGTCTCATGCCGCTGTAGTCCATGTGTTCGATCGCCGCTCCACACTCGACCAGGTAGTGCACCTGAACACAGATCACTCAGATATGGACACGGCATAATACTGAGACGCAAGGGTCCCCGAGAGATTATCTCAGCTTACTATGTCTGCGTCTCCGTAGAAAGCAGCAAGGTCCAGCGGGGTACGTCCATGCTTATCCGTGTGGTCAATCTGAGCTCCCCTCTCCACTAGAAACTCCACCACTTTCTTCTGTCCTTTCAAACATGCCCACCCGAGCGGGGTCAGGCCTTCTTTATCCACTGTTGTCAGACATGCTCCTACAATAAAAACACACTCATTATGGACTTTATTTGACAGAATTATGCCAGTTTTGTCTCAGAAAATGTAGTGGTACAGCATATAACCCTGTAAATGTGTTGTTGTTGTTTTTTTTTTACAAAAAAACATCAAAATTCAACAAGGAGAGAAGCTCGCACACATAACGAGAGGCCAAAGACAAAAAAAATTTAATTTACCTCGTCATCAGTGTTGTAACCATTTTATCATTGTATTTGACCTCTAAATAACGTTAAATGTTTCTATGATTATGTGTGAGAGCTCCTTTTTTTGTTGAGTATCATATTCCATACTTTTATGGACCATATATATATGAAAATTTTGAGCTTATACACGAGGAGGGATTTTTATTCAGACGCCCAAACTGAGCAAAACATTTTTGCTGCAGTTGCTGATATTAAATTCTGATAGTTTGTAATGTACATCAGTGCGATCATTAGAACAGTATAGCAGACTACTTATATAAAATGCAATGTCACTCTTTATCTCCCAAAACTGTTTTAGTAAGATGAATTTAAAATATATAATGCAATGCAATACGCAATACAATGATGATTGAGAGATCTGTTGTATTATATTTAATACTTACATTTTAACATGGTGAAAAAATAGTGAATGGATAAATCCTAATTAAACCTAAGTTGTTCAGTCCAGTAAGTGTTTATCTTGAAATATTACTAATAATACAGACATTATGTTTACTTTATAAAAATCAGTAAAATTTCACACAAAAAAGACAAGTGTACCATGACCTGAAGGTGGGTATTTTTACAAAAGATTTTCAGCAAAATTTCTATCAAGTTGATAATTAAGATTTGATACAGTAGGCTTTATAGGGTTATGGTAGATTAAGGACCCCTGGACCACACTCACTGACCCTGTGAGAGCAGGAAGTCCACAGTCTCCAGGTGTCCCTCACTTGCGGCCACCATCAGTAGAGAGCGTCCATGTTTATCACTGCAATTCACGTCTGCGCCACGCTGCAGAAACAACTCTGCTATCTGGAAGAGAGAGAGAGAGAGAGAAGGAAAGAAATTTAATAGAGAGATAAAATCAATGTAAAATCTGATAGAAGTCTAAAGTTACTGTTTTCCTGTGTAATAAAGTGTCTTACCTGTGTGTGTCCATGTCGCACTGCATTAAAGACGGGTGCCACCCCTCTGCGGTTAGGCTGTGTTACACTGGCACCTTGATCCAGCAGGAACACACACCCCTCTAGTTTGCCCCGGCCAGCAGCAGCGGTTAGAGCTGGAGAAGATATGGATGCTCATAATGATGATCTATGCAGTACAGCAGACTCAGCCATACTGGAAAAACTATTGAATATGCCTACTTCCCACTATACAGCGTGCGAAAAACAGTCCAAAGTGTAGCATGTTCAAAATTATGACTTCAAATTATTTAAATGACTTAACTACTTCATCCAATATTCTGGAGTATGGATTCGATGGACATTTTACTATCCCACGAAGAAACAGGAGAGGAGTTGTGAAGGTCAGTAAAGTGACGAAACGGACACTGGTAGGTCATGTGACTGACAACATGGCGTATGTAGCATGTTCGAATTTGTTTCATATTACGCATGTTGTTATTTAGACAATTTTTTTGTTAAATTTATGCATTAGCAGACACTTTTATCCAAAGCGACTTACATTGTATTAAATGTATAGATTTTATCAGTTCAAGCATTCCCTGGTAATAGAAACCATGACCTTGGCATTGCAAAAACATACTTTAACAGCCGTTTATGTAGTACAAATTAGACAGTATGCGATTTCATGTGCAGCTTAATAGCTATGCTTTTCTAAATCTTGAAATACTGCATTTAATAACAAAGCTTAAATGTAAATTATGCATAGCACAATATCTTATATGTAATGTTTTACACACTGACATTACATTTTTTTTTTACTTTACAGTAAAAATAAGATGACAAACATGCAGTGTAATGTAGTTTATTTACAAACCTGTTTCACCCCACAAAGTATCATGACCATCAATCTGCACTGAATAATCGTCATTGTTCAATGCAAGCATTCTTTTGACCACCTGTAAAGCATAAGATGGTGTGTATTAAATTAAGGAACTGAGTGGGTGTGGCTTTGGTTCCTTTGTGGTTTTATAGCCTGTGGTTTTATAATCACAAAATCTCTCATTCTAAATTACTTTATATAAAAGGGGGAGTATCCTGTGTGTATTTAGTACCTGTGTGTGTCCCATGCTGGAGGCAGCGATCAGCGCCTGCTGTAGTGCCTTGTTCTTCAGGTCTGAACTCCACTCCTGCTCCAGAAGATACTGCACAATCTCAGCATGACCCCGCAGAGCAGCGTGAACCAGTGCACACTGACCGCTCTTATCAGCATGATCCACCTAACACATATAACACACAGGTATAGTTACTAGCAAAACTACACTGAAAAAAAAAACCCCAACCCACACATTATCAAGGGGATGCTGAACAATATAAATCACAACATTTATAAAACGCATTTCTTTGTTTTTTGAGAAGTCATTATCACTCCGTATCATTATTGACAATTTAATGGTTAATGAATGAGCAGAAAAGTTCCTGCAGTTCATCAGTAATGCTTGCAGGAGTTAAACTGAGAAGAAACAATCTGAAACACCTTGTACACTAGCCTGGTTAAAATCAGACCATTCTTTATGGTCTGGCAGAGCGTCATAGACAAATCATTTCTAGAGAGGCGTCACCAACGGACGTCGCGGATAGACCTAAAACCTAGATCTACAACCAAACATCTCCGAGTGTTGTTCTTTGCTCGGTTTTTAACAAAAAGGAAACGTTTAAATCGCTTAAAACAGACGCGATAGCTGATTCAAACGAGTGATGTTTGATGGCGACATCCATTGTAATGTAGGCTACAAGATCTGCTTCAAAATCCCAGCGCTGTCGTCATCGTGTAAAGCCCACCCCAACGTTTCTGATTGTTTGCCGCGATTTCAACGGATTGGAAATGGGCTTGAAATGGACTAACTTTCAGAGCAAATCTAATTTTGCCAGAAGTTGTCTGGGTTTTCCCAGGCTATTTGTACACTATACAATATATATATTATATTGTATAGTGCTCTATTTAATTAATGATTTAGGCTCTAATTAATGATTTTATTTTCATAGAAATGATTTTTTTCGCTACTTTAAAATGGCATTACAAACAGGTTCTCCAGGAACTCCACATCTGCTCTGTTCCAGTGAAATAAAACATTTCTGATATTCAATTACTGATATGCAGTAGCAACCTTGTTTGCTTTATTAAAAGTGCACATATGGTGTATTCTGTATATGTATTTCATGTTTGATTAATTATTTTATTCCATTTATTAGTTTCATTGCATGTATGTGTATATAGTACTATGACAAACTAGGTAATTGTGGTATTTGGGGGGAAGGGGTCATAATATCTTGGCTAGGACAACAAAATCACCAATACTTTCAGGGCATCTCCACCTGCCAATTCAACCCCTGAATGTTACTGAGGTTTAGGATTAAATCTGGATCATTTATAGTCATTTTGTGTATTAAATGGGATCGACTGACCTTTGCCCCTTTTTTGCATAATAAGGTGACAAGTGGCAGATGTCCGGCAGCTGAGGCATAACAGAGGGAGGTCATGCCGTTCTCCGACTGCCCATCCACTGGCGCCCCACACTCCAGGAGCAAAGCAGTCATCTCCAGGTGGCCCAGGTGAGACTGCACACACAGCACTGGTGCACTGTTTAAAACCTCAGTACGGTAACACACACTCGCCCCTCCCAGGATCAGCAACCGGGACACCTGGGGACACAGGTAAGACTGGTTTTAACACAAGAAATTAAGTAACGGTCTCAATTATTACCCGTCTGAGGGCTTCACAGACTGGTCACTTACTGTAATATTCAGTAATATTAATGATTTGATTTGAATGCTCACTATTAGAGGAGAACAAAAGTTCTGAATTAAGCTGGATGTTGACTGCTTTATACTGTTAATAAACTGATACGAAGTGAAGAACACTTATCTAAACTACACTACAACTGTAGTTGCTTATATCTGAACTTATTTCATAATTGATGAGCTTCACACAATTACTAAACTGAATCAACACTGAACTAACTTGAGCTGAAAAATTGTTTCTCACAATTTACAACCTTGATTTATTCAGACTTCAGTTTACAATCCATGGCTTCAATCTACATCCTCAAACTACATCTGCAGTCTACATACTTAATTTAAAAAATATACAGATTCAACCTAGATGTATAGCTTCAATCGACATTCTGTATCAGCTTCAACGGCTTCAACCTAGTATGCTTTTATGCATATCTTCAATTTACAGCTTCAATCTATAATCTACAGAATCTACAGCCTCAATGTATAGCTTCAATATATAGCATACATCTGTAAATCAACAGATTTAATGTATAGCCTCAATCTATAGGTTTAATCTACAGCATTCATTTTTAATATATAGCTTCAATTTACAATCTACATGTGCAATATAAAGACAATATAAAGAATGTATTGATTCAAGCCACATGCTGTGTTTACGATCAACAGATGCAAGCAAATATAATCACACGAGTATGTCATATTAGATTTAGATTGAAGCTGATTATTTGCTTGCATCTGTAGATTGTAGATAGTAGGCTGTGGGTTGAAGCTAACCATTTTCTTCTCAATCCCTCTACAGTTTCCTGTATTTACTCAATGAATGTCATGTTAAAACATAAAATCAAACCACAAAACTCTGAAAAAGAGGTATTTATACACAAACATATTATATCTGTTCAAACATGCTAATTCACCTTTGGCTAAGCCACGCCCTATAATGTAGATTGACCAATCACAGCGCAGCCAAGAACGAGCCCCCACAAAGGTCGGACACTTTTTCACAGAACTCCATTGACTTTCAACACAGACGGCTCATATTTTTGGTCTCGGCAGGCTATTACCGTCGTAGTTTTATCCAAAATATGGTTAAACGTTGTGCCTGGGGCATTTGTAACACAGATACGTGTTTCCCAGAGAGGTTGGAGGGGGGTGTCCGTTTTTTCCCTTCCCAAAACCAAAGTCAAATCCTGACAAGTGTCGTCTTTGGATTAAACTGTGTGGACGTCCTCAGTCAGCTAAACCCCGCAAAGATCAACTAGCACATCTTTTTTTACTTCTAACATTACTGTGAGTGTGAAGTTATACTAGTTACACCGTTTTATAATGTTTTACGTTATGATTTCAGTTCTCATACCGGTTGTTGATACGCTAGCTAGCATACGCTGCTAGTAAATACAACGTTATATTCGTGTAATCCGTTTGCTTTGTAATAACAATTATAGAAGTGAATAGAGACCTACCCAGCTTTGCATGAACAGTGTTGCTCCCTGTCGTTAGTCCCAGCCTCCGTCTCGATTAGTAGGAAATGCGGTGGTTAATTTTTTTGACTGTGACCGGTAACGTTATGCTTTTGCCTCTATTTTGGAAGCCTTTTTGTTTCTTGCGTTTGTATGTCTTGAATATAGCCTTCGAACGCATATTGCAGCCCCTTTTGCCTACTTCTATCGGACACTTTATTTGCTGCTTTACAAAAGTTTGATAACATTTCAGCAGGAAGAGCTGTTACAGCATAAGCCACGAAGAGCGCAGATGAAGTTTGACGGATGTAGCAACGGTAACTAAGGGGGGCTGGGCTTAGCCAAAGGTGAATTGTTTATTTCACTTTCATTTAACAGTGGAAGGCATTAAGTCATACTCGCTAATCGATGAATGACTGAATGAATGGAACCTGGCTCCATTTTTTGGATGTGGATATGGACAGTGTGGTGGTAATGGAGGCTTGATTAAGATGCTGGATGTAGCAGGAACACATTAAAAGCAAAGGAAGCAGAATCGCATTTATTTATACAAACACAGCAGGAAATAATGAGAAGCTCTCCAGCCAAATGGCTGTCAAGGATGCCGGTGCGCACACATGGGCTCAGAGTGACGCTTGTTTCATTAAAACTCCGTAGGAGAGGAAATTACAGGGACAGCGGAGTCTAGACTGCAATTAACATATAATAGATTTAATAAATAAATGTAGTCATTACGCAAGGCATTTTTCAGTAAGCCTCAGCACTAATTACTATGTTCTACGTGACTTATGAAATCTCGTTCACTGTGGATGACTCAGAGCTCTGTAAGGCTATAGCTCTTCTTGTGCGGTTGAATGCGTCAGCCGCGATAATTATTGGAGCCTTGTTCTACAATTCAGGAGCGCAAAACAGTTGTTCATTTTTATTTTTTACTCAAGATTGACGCTGCTTTTTTTAAGTGATGGTCTCATTGGCACATTGAGTACAAAAATGTGTGTGTGTGTGTGTGTGTGTGTGTGTTTTTGTGCGTCTTTGTGTTTGCATATCCTCAAACCTTGACGTTGGGTGTGTACAGGTTTCTGAGGGAGGAAAGAGCTGCAGATAGGCTGTCTGTACTGTAGCTGATCCACAAGGCCTGCAGAACACTTGACGAAACCCCTGTTCTCTTACTGTGACCCTGAGGACAGACATGAAGAGGCAGGAAGAGTTCAAATGGAGATCCCATCACTTAAACACACAGAGAAAAGGATTTTGAGTATCTGTGTTCATTACCTTGAATATGTGAGCTTTAAGAATGTGGTGGCCCAGCTCCATGGTTTGTTGGCGGTTGAGTTTTCCCTCTTGACGTGAAAGCATGAAGGCCATCAGAGCGTGGCCACTTCTGTTTACCAACATCAATAATTCATCAGAAATCATAATGAACATCATCATCCTGATTCACATTCCTTCCATTCTGATCAACTCTAAATCAAGGGTGTAACCTTGATGTCTTGAAAGTTGGGAGGAAATCCATTTTTTGGGGGGATAACCAATATATACAGTATATATATATATATATATATATATATATATATATATATATATAAAATATTTGCTCACAATATCTCTTATTTACATGCCTTAAATGGCATGTTTCTTGTTCTGTCACATTCTGTTATGCAACAATTCAGCCTATATTTTCAATTCAAAACAGTTAAATTTGACATCACTGAATATGTTTTTCATTTAACATTTCTATCGTAAAACTGCTGTCAAATATCTTTCACCATTAAAACCTGAAGCTCTGCGCAGGAATTCATGTTCGGGCCCTTTGAACAAGTAAAGCCTACCGTCTTTGATTTGATTGGCCATCTCAGTCATTTTGACATTGATGAGCACTGTTAGATTGCCAAGGTGGACCAGCTTAAAAAAGTAAGTTGAAATTTTGCAGTGAAGTCAATATTTGTATCTATTTCTGTAACAATCCGGAAATTATTCGTATCTGTATTCAGATCAAACTAAGTGGGTGGGGCTTTAGCCGGAAATTCGTAAAATTACTTAATAGACCATTAATTCTATGGTTAAATATATATATGTTCTGTTCATAGACTAGTTAATATTTAACAAATATGCCTTGTATAACTCAAAAATAATTATTTTTTAATAATCCTAATCATCTGAGCTGATATCCGAATAGGCAGTGGGCGAACCCGAGTTCGATTTCCTGCTTGAGCCTGATAAATAAATTATTAAAATACCTTCTAAATACTTTCTGACAATAGTAAATATTAGAATAAAAGTACAAAAAAATATGTTTTTCCCCCCAGAGTTAAGTCAGGACATTCTTCCACAACCTTAAATAAATAGAGTAGGACTTGGCCATTTCTAATCACCCGGGGGTGTCATGTTCCCCTCATCTAAATGGCCCTACAGATGCTTAATGTTGTCCTCATAGACAGCAAAGTTCTCTATGAATCACAGTCCATGAACTTTTCTTTTTATGAGTCCATGTTTGAACCGTGTTAAGTGGGTCACTCTTCAGTTTATAACAGTGATGGAGCTACTAATGCCTTTCTAAATGAGAACACTGAGCAATGTGTGTGTGTTTAGGTGGACAGATAATTGAAGAGTCTACTAAATGAAAGAGAACTACACGAAAGTAATTTCATGTTCAAAGGCTACACACACTCAAATTTGAGTTACTCCCTTTCTGAACTCAATTAAACGGAAAAAATCCACATGATAGATGGCTGACCTGTACTTCACATGCTTTGCTATGTGGTTGCTAAGGTGTTCAGACTAGTTGTAACACAATGCAATGAAGCTTTGAATGTTTTTGGAGTAGCTTTAGTGGTGTGATGTTTTTACCCAAACCAGATACGCGTAAGCACCCCCACCATCGCTGATTCTAAAGATTTCATTGGTCATGATAAATCACAGTGCTGACTGCCTAAAAAATTCCATAACCTCAATCTTAGTATACCATCGGCACACGCATCCTGATAGATAGAGTTATCATTTGTTGCAATATGATCCATCCATGATTTTTCTGAATTCTGAACTCTTCATGACAGGTGGCTGTGTCATTGAGTTTACCAGTGAAATTGGCTGTGGGATAAGATTTATATTTAACTGGTTTGGGGAAAACAACTAACATATTTTAATGCATTGCAATTCACTTGCTAGGATCCCTGGCTCATGAATTGGTATGTTACGTACACTAATTGGGCCACTGGTGAGGACCCTGGATTATTAAACATTTGGATACAGATGACTCTGCCCCCAAACAACATACTTGCATACTAAAATGTCATCACTGTATTTATCAAAAACAGCAGGACTGATACCCTACTGACATTACTTTTTGAATGCTTTGATTACATATCCCACCAATATTTCAGGCATAAATTATAAATGTTAGCTAGATTGTTCACTGCTGCCTAGAAATGGGCTTATGCTAAAAAAAATATGAATGGTTTGTCTTTTGAAATCTTCTAATGAGTGTTAGTAATGAGACAGTATTTTTTATTCTCTGCTCTGTTTGTATCGTTGCTCATTATTTTCCTATTTATCTCTCTAAAGGCGCTTTGAAGCAGTCTGTATTGTATAAAGCACTATATAAATAAAGGTGACTGTTCTTGTGTTATGGAAATTCCAGTGCACTACAGCCAAGGCCAAGTTTTGGCAGTGACAAGTTTTGTGTTTCGTAAAGTTTGCTGCTTCAGTTGTGGTGTTGATTCACATTATCTAGATTACTGTGTAGAGTGATCAGATGCATTTTAAATAACTGCAAAAAAAACTTAATTTTTTTGTTTTTTTTTTGGTCATCAGCTAACATTTGACTAATCATATCATTAGCACATATGAAAGTTTGAATGAGTACTATCATTCAGTAATCAGCAATCATTCAGATTTGATTATAAGAGCAGACTGATTGCTATAAAAGGAGGGAAGACGTGCTTCTGATCATTGTTGTTCTTGTGTTAGCAATGGATCCCTCCAAAGAAAGACATGTAGCCATCATACACTTTCCATCAATGATACTAGGTAATAGCTGCAAAGAATATTGCACCTGAAAGAACCATTTACCAGCTCATCAAGAACTTTAAGGAGGGTTCAATTGCAGTGAAGGCTTCAGGACAAGCACTATGACCATCTTCTCCCAAGGAGGCGGCTACGAAATAGTGTCAGCACCCCTGCAGAGCTTCCTCAATATTGGCAGCAGGTGTGAGTGCAAGACCTTTGGACATTGGCCTGGTGTCAAGAAGGGCAGCAAAATATCCTTTTCTCCAAGAAAATCGAGGACAGACTAAGACTCTGCAGGAAGTACAAGGATTAGACAGGAGACAGGTGCAAAGTTATTTTCTCTGATGAAGTCCCCATTGCAACTGTTTGTAACTGACATCTGAAAAAATAATAATAACTTGTTTGGAGAAAAAAGTGGTGAATGCCAATAATCCGATTTGCCATCAGTGAAGACCACTGAGACCATCCAGCCAGGAATAAAGAATGGTATCAAAATGTCCTGCAGGAGCAACCACTCCCAATGATCCAGAAGCAATCTGATAATGATCCGTGCATTTTCCAGGATGATGCAGAACCATGTCATGTCACAAGTGCAAAAGTGTTAATGAAATGGCTCGGGGATTATAACATTGAAATTTTGGATCCATGGACAGGCCTCTCCTCAGATTTTTATCCCAATGAGAACCTGTGGTCAATCTTCAAAAGGCACAAGCAGAGGTACAGTACACGAATTGTGATCGACTTTGAGCACTAATAAGGCAAGAATGGATGGCCATCAGTTAAGGATATGGCCCAGAAGCTGATATCCAACATCCCAAAGCCATTTGCAGAGGTTATAAAGAATGGTCGACATTGTAAATATTGACTCTTTGGATACATAGAAAGTTTTTGCCAATAAAAGCCATTAAAACTTATGAAACGCTTATCATTGGTTTCCAGTATACCTTAATTCGCGTCACTGCCAAAACGTTTGGCCATGATAGTAGAAGGATTTTCCGAATGATTTTTTATTTTTTTTGCCTTCACTACTGAACTAGGGAGTTGATTGAAAAGCACCCAGAGTAGTTTTTGCACACATTGCTATGAAGTTGCTTGGGTTTCTGAGTAGTTTTAGCACATCGCTATTCACTTGCTAAAGAGTTTTGATTAGTTTTCACACATTGAAATTCCCTCTATTTGGTGTCTAATTCGTTTTAGCACATTGCTTTGCATTTTCTGAGGTGCTCCAAGTAGTTTTAAGTTACACATTGCTATGAAGTTGCTAAAGTGTTCTGAGTAGTTTTAGCACATTGCTATTCACTTGTTAAAGGGATACTCCACTTTTTTTGGAAATAGGCTCATTTTACAACTCCCCCAGAGTTAAACAGTTGAGTTTAACCTTTTTCAAATCCATTCAGCTTTTTTTTTTTATATTTAGAAGAATGTCAGTAACCAGAGAGTTTCTGGTCTCATTGACTTCCATAGTATATTTTTTTCCTACTATGGAAGTCAATGAGACCAGAAACTGTCTGGTTACTGATATTCTTCTAAATATCAGAAAATCGTCTGAATGGATTTGAAAAAGATAAAACTCAACTGTTTAACTCTGGGGGAGTTGTAAAATGAGCTTATTTCCCAAAAAAAAGTGTAGTATCCCTTTAAGGTGGTCTCACTAGTTTAGCTAAAGTGTTTGTAGCATTGCTGTGTGCTATCTGGCAACTTTATAGCAATGTGCTTAAACCTCTCTGAATTTCACCCTTGCCTTAACAAGCATGAAAAACATCATCTTAAGTGTGTAAGAAAAAGCGACATCACTGCTTACCTTGGGTCACACATGAAGTCAGTGCTCTCGCCATCCGCCCTCCATACCAGCCACTCCCTAAAGGACGGGTGGCAGAACATACGCGTTCGGTCTCGACGGCCAATCAGAAAGCAGGAAAGAGCATCCATGCGCTGCTGGAAGTCCTCCCACTCCAGCTCTCCTCTCATGGATCCCGCATTCAGTGCCCGGAAGAGCTGCTCATCCGTCAGAGGGTGCAAAGATGCCAGAGCCACGTTTAGCAGTGGCAACACACGTTCAAATGCTGAGGCCGATGGGAATTTCATGTTGCACTGCAGCAGATAGAGCTCAGAAAGAGACACTGGTATCACCTTATAGCTGGAGCTTTTAATGACCAGGTGACCCTTCTCAAACAGGTCGAGAGTTAATTTTAAATAAAGATATGAGCCCTGGCTGCGGGAGACCAGGTGGGCGCTGAGCTTAGAGAGGTTCGCTGGGTCTGCTTTGCCATTGATGGCAATGTTGCTGATGATGTCAGGGCTGTGGTCTATACGGTGCTGGATGTAGGAGGTGAGGTCAGAGTTTATATCCTTATTGTCATGGAAATCATCCAAAGAGATGATGGGAAAGTGGAGGAGACTCGTGACTTCCTGTCAAATCAACATAAAACACACATAAAAGTTAAAATAAGTAATAAAAATAAGCTTTCATTTAAAAGTTTTAAATAAAAATGTATTTAATATATTTTAAGGTAGACATGGAACATCATGAGTAGATGAAGAAGAAGTTTTATTTATATAGCGCCTTTCCAAAGCTCAAGGTCGCTTTACATGGTACATTTATAATACATTTAAACACTGACACACAACTTACAGTCACAAAGGATACATATAATCACATTTAAACAAAGTAGATGTTGAATAGATATGTTTTTAGCTGTGTCTTGAAAGCAGTCACTGATGAAATATTTCGAAGTGAAAGGGGCAGTGAATTCCATAATGTTGGCGCATTTACACTAAATGACCGAATAATCGAAAGCGAGGAATGGACAATAAACCAAGTTCAGTTGATCTGAGAGAGTGTGCAGGACGGTAGGTGAAAAGTAGATCAGACAAAAATGGGGGTGCAAGACCGTTTAATGCCTTATATGTTAAAAACAATTCCTTAAAGTGGATACGAGATGCAACGGGTAACCAGTGAAGGTCATGAAGACCGGTGTGAAGGTGAGCAGAACGCCTGTTTGAGGTGAGAACTCTTGCAGAATTTATTCATTCATAAATATCTTATGTCGAGGGAGTTGCACTACACAACATTTTAGAAACCCGCCATGTCTTATATTGAGGATTGACACAGAGTCAGTCTATGAGATAATTTCCTCTTTTTATCTATAGATGTTGGTTAGACCTATTTGACTGATCAAATTATAAAGCGACAAAACTACACAAAATGGCCATTTTCGACAATTCCTGTATACTAATTCAGATGCTGGTAGCATTAAAAAGTGACACAGCTTTCTGCCTGTTGCAATTGAAAGACATGCAATGAAATAGTTTTTGGGGACTTTAAGGGATGAACCTTCATTTATGTACCATAGCGCAGGAGTAACGACCACCAGCTTTCCGAAAGAATCTTGAATAATTATAGTTCTTTAAAGATTAGGGTTTTGTACTGTAACCACTGACAACAGAAAAAAAATCTTGAATACTACAAGAACCACAGACAGAAGTCTGCTTATTTTTATCTTACAGCACATCTTTATCATCATATGCATGCAAAACAGAATAAATGTCAAAACAACTGCAGGATTAATCTTAAACACCGGCAGCCCGGTTGTGTGGGTTGTCTGGCACTTTTGGGTCACTGCTCCAAGAAGTAGTGAGTGAGAGAAAAAGAGACAGTGTATGTGTGTGAAAAGTGTATAGGGACACTAGCATCTGCAGTATTGCATCACAGCCCTTATCCCCTCTTATATAAGCTTGGCTCCAGCAGGTCCGAGTCCAGCTCTGATCAGATGTGGATTATACACACTAGCCACTGACCATCATCCAAAACCGTTCAAGCTCTGATCACAAAAGGCACATCAGGACACTTTATAGGCCAGAGCTTTAAAACTTTCTGAATGGATTTGCTTTGTATTAAAACCAGCATAAAAGGATGCAGGCTGTGCAAAAAAACTTACCACTTGGTTGACCCTGACGGTCACAATCAGTTTAAGCCAAATAGGAAATTTAGAGATGATTTTGGTGATGAAGGATGCAATGGTATCTCCATAGTCTGGTTTGTGGAACTCTGCCTCATTTAGACCGTCCACTAGGATGACGTAATCTTCCTCTGGAATCTTACTCTCTGCACAACACAATAGAAACGACATGGTAAAACAAAGTCTAATATGGACCCAGAGTCTTTTAAGAGTTTGGCATTACAGTACGTGGGTGTGTTCAGGTTTTTGTTCAGAAAAGTTAGCAGGAACAATTACTGTTGAATGTTTACTATGTGATTTTAGAACACCCAGCACAATAAAAACCCTTCGTGCTGCCTTCTTTCACCATATGTTGAGTAGGAAAAAGCGCCTGCAGTCTGTAGTGAAACTCTCACTCTCAATGTTTTTGAGTATTTGCCACTTGACTAATAGCTGCACCCTTCCAATTTTTTTTCTTTGTGGAATAGTTCACTTAAAAATGAAAAAAAAAAAAAAATTGCAGTGTTTGGAGCTCAAAAGCATTATCATTAACTTTCATTTTATAGAAAAAGAGCAGATTAAACATTCTGACTAACATCTGCTTTTGTGTTTCATAGAAGAAAGTCAGTCTTGGAACAGCATGATGGTGAATAAATGATGGCATTATATTAATTAAATTATTCCTATATAGGGCAGGATTTGATTTTATAGATCACCAATTGATTGTATCATGAAATGAGAGCATTCGATACCTGAATGGAGGAAAACCTGAAAGTAATTTGGCTTGGCAGTCAATTTAAAGGACTAAAAAAAAGCATAAGATTTTATCTATCATTATTTGTTATTAGTGTTGCAATAATGTATTTATTACACTGAGGTCATTAATCAGAATTAAATGACTCCATTAACTACTAGTATGATTATAGTAAGGCTGCATTGGCTACAACAGTAGCTTAAAACAATGCTTAACTAGCCGTTTGACTGTCAAATAATATTTCAAATCCACTAATAGTCGGCACAGCCAAGGTCCCGTCAACCAAAAAAGGACAGTTTGTTATTACAATGACTTATGATTTAGATTACATAAACTTATTTTTATTTGTAATCTAAAAAAACATATCTACTTACAGTATCTTGGAAGTTTCACACATGGAATATTCACCACATTAAGCTACCAAATCAAAAATATGACCCAAAAAAAAAAAAAAACAGCACATGTGAAAGGTGTAGTTTCACGAAACACTGGCTCATCTTGTATGTGATCTACACAATATTAGAAAGCAAAAAATAAATAAAGTGATTGTCATTAAGACAAAATGCATTAGTTTTCATAAATAATGCAGAATATATTGATCATGACCAGCAAGGAATACTTCAGTCAGAAAAGTTTGCACCATGATGAAATGTGTCTTCAATTACATTTATAGGAACAATTTTACCTAGGGTCATTATAACTTTACCCAACATTATGTCATATAAAATATGTTTTCTCTACTATATTATCTCTTTAATCTGATGTTACAAAACAGAAACACTGATTTTCAAAAGTTCAGACTGAAAGCTCCATGTCTTCATTTTCATACTCGAAATTTGCTCTAGCCTCATTCTCTAAAATTCCTGTTAAGTCCTTCATCTGTCGTTCCTTGTGATCCAAGCCGTTTCTGAGGACCATCTGTTCATGTTCATATTGGGCCAAATTAAAATGAGGCAAGAACGCTCTTTCTCCCCCATTACCCCTGAGCAAACATATTTAGTTTTTATTTGATTGTGTGATTAAAGACAGTGGCATGTGATGAGTCTCACCTTTGCGTAGAAGTGCGAGGGGCTCCAGGACTCCCTTACGGAAGGCGGCGGCAGGGTCCTGGACGCAGGAGCGTAAGCTGAGCAGGCTCTGCAGGTGCGTTTCTCGAAGTAACAGCTCTCGATAAGCACTGAGGCGAGGGGCTCTGCACAGTAAAGCGGACACACTGTGCACAAACTCCGGGACCAGGCATGTGTACGTGTTATCAGCCTGACAATAGTGATACGCAACCACCTGCAGGGGGAACAGAAAGAGGGGAAAACTTGAAAAGTGGGAGTTCTTCACCTAAAAATGTAATTTCAGTCATTATTTAATACCCAAAAATGGAATTCTTCTATGGAATACAAAAGGTGATTCAAAGGGTAAAAGAATATCTTAAAAGCTCTAACTTGTTTCCTAAAAGCATTGTAAACCTAAGTAGATTGTAGACACAATTGGCACCAATTTTCTCTACGATCTACTTATGCTTACAATGCTTTTGAAAAATAAAATGCAGCCCTGGACTGGTGTGATCAAGACTCCAATATGACAAAAAAAAAACACCACAATAGTACCATAAAGATTTTTGAAGTCATATCCTAGCTATGTTTGAGGAACAAAACACATTTAAAGGAGTAGTTCACTTTTGAAAAAACTTTTGCTGATAATTTACACACCCCCATGTCATCCAAGATGTCCAAGTCATTCTTTCTTCAGTCGAAAAGAAATGAAGGTTTTTGATGAAAACATTCCAGCATTTTTCTCCATATAATGCACTTCAGTGGGAACCAAACGGTTCAAGATCCAAAAGACAGTTTCAGTACAAACTGCAAAGTGTTCAAAGGGCTTTAAACGATTCCAGACGATGAATAAGGGTCTTATCAAGCGAAATGATGGCTCATTTAAGCATCGCCTTGTACTGCGATGCACGTTTGTGACTCTCCTGTTCGAACTCATTAATCAAAATGAACGAATCTTTTTCCGAGTCAATTCGTTAATTTCGTTCGTTGAATGACTCGGAAAAAGATTAGTTAATTTTGATGAACGAGTTCGAAAAGGAGAGACACGAACGTGCATCGCAATACAAAGCAAGGCAACCATTTGAGCTTATAAAACTTAAACTTTGTTATGTTTTCTTAAATGAGCGATCGTTTCGCTTGATAAGACCCTTATTCATCGTCCGGAATCGTTTAAAGCCCTTTGAACAGTTTGCAGTTTTTACTGAAAGTGTCTTTTGGACCTTGAACCGTTTGGTTCCCACTGAAGTGCATTATATGGAGAAAAATCCTGGAATGTTTTCATCAAAATCCTTAATTTATTTTCGACTGAAAAAAGAAAGACGTGGACATCTTGGATGACATGGGGGTGAGTAAATTATCAGCAAAAGTTTTCTTCAAAAGTGAACTACTCCTGTAAGTTATTCACTCAAAAATGTTGATATCTTGATTCGCATTCATGAAGACAGTACAAATGGCCAATTCATGAACGAATCACTCTTTTGAGACTAGTCTTTGAAGTGAATTGGATGACCCAGTAAGAAACTGTATGAATTATTTCCTAATTAATCTGATTGATCCAGTTCAGTTCATTTAATGACTCAATGATCCAGTTGCAGTTGAGGGGAAGATTATTAGTGAATAATTAAAACAATTTGTCTGTTTTCACAATACTAAAATGTCTTCAGAAGTCCTATGGACTAAACTTTTTATTGTATTATTATACATTTTGTGTAAAAAAGAAATGCATTTATGTGGTGTGCTTTGAAGGGTTATAAAATTTCGTTTCTTTCTTTCCTCCTTTGTTTGTTTCCGCTTTGCAAATCAATGTTACATGATCTTTCCTGATAAATCCTGCTCTCTCCTTACTTCCTCACCATGATTTAGTAGACCAAGGTTATGATCACCAAATAAAGATCATTAATGTGTGAACGTGGGCATTTGTGTGTTGATACAGTTTCCAGAAGGAATAGAAGAACCGGGGGAGATGTTTTTTGGTTCTGAAAGTTACAGTACTAGGTTTTTCAAAGTACAAGGAGGTCTTTTATCTCAAAGATCAAGGAAAATTTGATTTCTCGTGACATAACCCCTTTAAGGTTTATTTGAATATCATGAATCCCAAATCGTTCTGAAATACTGGAGAATCCAAGCTTCTGAACACAAGCGAGTCTGAAATCGTGGCCTGAAACGACTTCCGACTGGCAGATGGCTGATTAAAAAGACGTGACAAGAAGACTCAACAGAGAAGGTTCGGGTCCAGATGTAAACGGAAAACACGCACATATTGGGCAAAGTGTTGAATATGCATGTGGTATACAGTTTGCCTCTGTCAAAACATCTAAAACATTGCACAAAACATCATGTGCATTTATAAATAAACATGAGAGCTGCTCTGAGGAATCTCTTTATTTTGCTGTAAACCATTTTTGAAGAGCTACCTTTTTCAAAACGGCTCAATCAAAAAATTTACATTTTAAAATAAGTGTGTACTTTCTGGAAGTGGGCGTTATGAAAGTTCATGTGTTCTATCTAGATGATTCGTCATGAAACCCATTGAAACAAACAATAATTATTTATGTAACATATTGAGAACATGATTTGCATAATTAAGCGCCTGATCACTGACTACAGTGGACATTCCAAGTCTTTCAAAAGAACTCCAACAAAAGCACAGCATTTATTTTAAAGTTTAAATAGAAATCTTTTGTAACATTATAAATATCTTTATTGTTACTTTTGTTCAATTTAATGTGTTATTGCCAAATAAAAGTATTAAAAGAAGTGTTCGACCGATATATCGGCACGGCCGATATTTGGCATTTTTGAAATGCCATATTGAAGGCCGATAAGTTTTTCTGATTGGTCGATGTATTGGAAGCGGGACTTTTATTTTGATGGCGCTGCAGATTTTTAGTTTGATGGGCGGAGCTGAGAAGACCAGCACCTGAGAAGAGAACGCAGCGCCTGATCAGTGATCACACAACGCTCACTCACATTCTCAATCTCCATTAGTTTACGATCTTTTTTCAGTCATATCTAATACTTTAAAGGGGTGATGAACTGAGAAATCAAATTTTCCTTGACTTATGCATTACATCCATACCTAAATAAAAATAGATGCCTACCTCGTTATGACAAACCGGATCGAGCTACCGAGCAATAAATATGCCGTTTACAAAACATTGTGCACTGCCTGGTTGTGGAAGAAGTCACTGCATGTTCTCTGGATGCCAATAGGACTGCATGGTTAAACTTTATTTTTAATGACCTTCCAGCTGATGAGATTAAAACATTGTCTGTCGGTTCGCTTCATTTCACTGACGACTGTTTTGTAAACAAGACTGGATTTGCAGATCGAATAAGAGTAAAGAACGGTGCCGTGCCGTCTATATTGGATCTGACAGGAATTGTGCAACACACGGACTCTGGGTCGAACGTGTATCGGCGAATCACTCCGGTTGCCATTTCACAACATTGGACGTTTTCAAAACATTTTCCCCCACGTGCACCGACGAGTGAGTTTACTTGGGCGAGTGGGCGTTTACTTCCAAGTCTTCAGTGCGAGACGCCCATAAAAACCGAGCGTTTTGGAGCTAGGCTCAAAACTAGGGTAGAAAATAGCGAATTACTTATTCATTTTGATGTTTTTGAATGTAAAAACCAAGCGAATGTCATAAGTTGACCTCAGACAACAATATAATAAAATTTAAAAAGCCACGCACTCGCTACCGTACTAGAGGTGACCGATCTTTTCAGGCAGTTGCCCCTAGGTTGTGGAATGACCTTCCACCGTCTATGCGCTCCTCTGATTCTGTTGATGTCTTCAAATGCAGACTTAAGACACATTTATTTGTTCAGGCTTTCAATTAGCTACCTGTGGGTTGATATGATCATGTACTGTCTATGCTTTTATTGTGTGTACTTTATGATATTAATTGTTTTTGTTGTAAAGCACTTTGTGGCCCTATACCTGTAAAAGGTGCTATATAAATCAACTTTTACTTACTTACTTACAATTCATTACCCCTTTAATTTATATAAATATAAATAAAAATATAAATATAAATATCGGCTTTATATCGGCCACCCTGCTCTCTCAGATTTCGGCATCGGCCATCAAAAAATCCCTATCGGTCGACCACTAATTAAAAGGCATTTAAAGTAATTCATCTTCAGCAGCGGTATTCTGCAAAATAAATGAGCAACATTTGCCGTGAGAAAATGTATATAGCGCAAATTACAGACATTACTATGCGGAAGAGATTTGATTTCTTAGAGGAATTCAGAGTAAAGGCCCATTCACACCAAGAAACATAACTACAAAAAAAAAAGCAATAATGAAAATTAGTTCTGTCCATAAAGTGTGTACCTTGTTAGCCAGGCGTTTGACTGCCCCCTCCCTGTGCCGGTGTGTGTCTGGCGTAGGCGGGCAGCTGTTGCTGCGGAGGGGACTCTGTGAGGGGGGGTTCAGCTGATTGCTTTGATGAGCATCAGCCCCTCGATCTACAACACAAACACACACAATTAATTCCCTATTATTTCACATAAAGTCAAGCTGTTATTGCACACAAATACAGCAGTCACTACAAGTGCTGAATATAGGTGTTGCATGTCTGATTGGTTGAACAAAGTTCATGTTCAACTAAAACTTTGTGATGAAGTATTGAGATCCAAAACCAGCACAGTCTTTTTCGACTTTTGCACTTCAATTGTTTCATATGGTTTTGGGGAGTAAATAATGACAGAACGTTAAACTCTTACTCTGGGGTGTAGCTTCAGGACTGTTGGAGGCGATCTGCCTCATTCGTCCACCATGACAGCTGAGAGCCACTAGCCGTGACATCACTGCTGTCTTTCCGAAACCAACGTTCCCAGTGATTACAGCCCCTTTACCCTCACTGGCATCTCCTCCCCCCATAAGCACATCCTCCAGTCGCTGAAACAGCCAATCACGGCCGACAAACACTGCATCCAAAGAGACGCTGGGTACCTCGAACAGCAGGGGTTTGAGCATGATGTCCACTGGTTTGTAGGGTGTGAGACGAGCTGCAGGATTCAAATAACAAAAGGTGTTAAAATAAACTACACACACACACACAGCCAAATCAATGCAGGACAGATTTATAATGAAAGGAGAGTGAATCATAAGAACTTCACATTAACGATGAAAATGGACCCCATTTATTTTCTTAATAAATGTCCCTTTTTTTGTATTGTGCGTGATTCCTGAAGAATAATTATTCTAAATAGAAAAATTCTGAAACTAACTCTGTACTGAAATAAAAAACAAATAATAATAATAATAATTTATGATTATAATAATACATATACACATGCATTGCCAATTCATGTAGTCTTCACAGGGTTAAACTTTATATTACCATTCAATCATTAGATTATAATTGAATGATGTTTTTTGTTGATGTTCTTTCAAATGAATTGAAATAATTAGAAATTACTCTTTCGTAATGTTTTTATATTTGAAGAAATGATCTGCTGTATTATGTAACAGCATTATATCCAGCTTATTTTTTACATAAACACGGGCGCGTCCATTTGTAAATTGAATGTTTCTGGTGTCATCCGCTTAGTTATTTTTAGCAGTACAAAAAAGCTCGTAATGCTGCTTGATACTGCAAAGTGGTATTTCTTATATTATTTCAATGTAATGGTTTGGAGCATGAATAGTTTTACCATTTACTGCACATTGTTATTCTTCTAGTCATTTACCTACAGCAGCTGATGAATCGGAAGTTTCGCACATTCACAGAAAATAGCTTACTTACACGTTGCAAAATAAGGCAGATAGCATCTGTACAGGAAATGTACTAATACAAGTTATCATAGTGTTCTGTTTGCATATCATTTGGTAAGTTGGAGTTAGTCAGCACCTTTATTCTCTTGACTGCGGCCCCCAGTGTGAGCTCCATGCCAGGGCAAACGCATGGAAGAGCGCTGGGGAGCATTTCTCTGCTCATCCAGATACCGCAGCTCCTCCAGTTTAGTACTGCTAGTGGCTGCAGGGAGAGAGACAGAATGAGAGAAAGAGTCATTCAGGGTTGTATTTGGCTCACAGACAGCAGCGAGATTACATGCCACCTCTGTGATCTCTATGAAGAACAAACACAATCTGCTGCTGTGTGTGGAGGAACACGTGTACCCAACACCCACAAACACACACTTTAATGAGGGAAAAAACATACAAAAGTATATGAGGAGAGTGAGGGAAGATGGGATACTTTTTACTGTACATGTTTCGGGATGTCTGCTATCCACTGCAGTTACAAGAATACGTTTACTATTTAAAAGCATGACTCAAAATAGTGGTCCAATGACAATGTGGCAGGAAAAGTTTTAATATTCAGAATATTTGAATTTCAACATTTTGAAAATGCAGTATTTGTATAGCAAAACTTACCATTACCCACTTGCTCAATTTACCCTGCAGCATCTGGCACACTTTACCCCACTGCTACCGTTTCATGACTAATGTTAAGCCAAAAAAATACATGGTTTTATGCATGGGCAATTCATTTTTACAGCTGGAAATCTTTGTTTGTTTAGCTGTTTTAGCTTAAGCAAAATGCTTCTCACTTTTCTCATGTGTCCAGTATATCTAAATCAAAATTACAGTAGTTGCATATGAATGGATCACAAAAATGGTTTGTTAGATAAATGGATGGCACATCATACCCCAGCCTCTCTTATTTACAGACACACATACTGTACCTAACTTGTATGACTCGCTCAAAATTCATCCGTTTATTCATTCAATCCATCAATCGCTCATTTCATTCATCATTTCTTTGCCCGCAAAATCTACAACCCTCTCTTTCCACTTATCCCTGTACAATCTCCCATCCTGTCCCATAATCTAATCTGCTTGAAACCCATAATCTCTGCAGATGGGCATAAACACACGGATGATGACTGTCATTTGTCACGTTGCATTCGCTTGTGAAGGGTCTCAAATGTGAAACCATGATCAAGCCCTTTGAAGCGGCAAAGATATAAATACGTTAACTTCCCTTTACCTGCTCAGATCACCACAGACAGGCACTTGGCGCGACATTTTGCTTTGTTGGAGTCATTCTGTATATATGACAGCAATTTCCCCATTTAGCCTTATAGCAAGAGGAAATCAAAGCCACCCGTTTGCAAAGCTTTCTGCAAGGCGCAGAAGAAGAGGCAGCCAAGCGGTACAGTGCGCTGAGCATTAAAATACAATAAAACACACAAGGGTGCTCCAAGAATGGGGTGTGAAGAAGCCCAGATCTGTCTACTTTATACATTTACACTGAACAAAATTATAAACACAACACTTATTGTGGCCAGCCTAAGGCACACCTGTGCAATAATCATGCTGTCTAATCAGTAGTCTCGGTTGTTGTCCCGAGTTGTCTCGGTCTCGGCCACTGGTCTTGCCAAATATGGCTTTTAGCCTGGACCGAGTCCAGGTGTCTTTCTATTATATTAATAATATTGAAGGAAAAGTGAAACACTGGCCACCTAATAACCAATCACACTAGATTATCCTTGGACGTCACACTCTGCGTCTGCATGCCCGTTAATTTTGCATTTGTAAACTGCATCAGCCTAACGTCATAAAGTTATAAGTTCGATTACGTATGGTGGTAGTAGCTCGCTGTGTGGGTGTGAGTGTCATATGCGTTAAAGGTGATTCATTTGTGTAACGTTAATGTTATCTGACATCGGTGATAATTTCTTCAGTTTTAAATTGACAATAGAAAATGTGTTTAGGACGAACAGAAATATTCTCCAGGGCGCCTACAGAACGAAAGACATTTTTGTATGTGTGTTCATTTATTACTAGCCTATTAGGGTAACGTTAACTTAGAAAATGCCAAAATTAACCGACCTAGAGCTCACTACAACGGAGCGCGTCTTCTCATGCTGTTAATATAGTTACGATCTTACTAGCTACTACTTAAAAATCCTGGGTGTTGTGACACTTTTGCTTTTAGATCAACAAATAATAAACCAAAATTACTGTCTTCATAATTTTTTTTTTTCCTATCCTGGACTCAATCTTGACTTGGACTCAAACCTTTTTGGACTCGGTCTTGACTTGGACTTGACTAGTCCTGGACTAAAAGGTGGTCTTGACTACAGCCCTACTAATCAGCATCTTGATATGCCAGACCTGTGAGCTGGATGGATTATCTCGGCAAAGGAGAAGTGCTCACTAACACAGATTTAGACTTGTGAACAATATTTGAGAGAAATAGGCCTTTTGTGTACATAGAGAAAGTCTTAGATCTTTGAGTTCAGCTCATGAAATGGGCTCTATAAATATAATATAATATAATATAATATAGTTCAGTGTACAGTATATACCTTTATACATTTTCAGCTAGCTTGAAAGACACAAACAATAAGCAAACAATACAGTTCAAGAGTTTGGGTCAGTAAGACATTAATACTTTTTATTCATCAAGGATGCAATGACTTTTACATTGCTACAATTTTTTTTGTCGCAATACTTTTGAACTTTCTATTCATCAAGTAATATGTATCATGGTTTCAACAAAAATATTAACAGCACAAACTTTCAACTTGAATACTGGATTAATGGCTGCTTAAATTTTTTAAATCACAGGTATAAATTAAATTTTAAAATACATTCAAACAGAAAACAGGTATTTTAGATTGTAATAATATTTGATATTGCTAATTTTATCACTGTCATTTGCATTAGAAAAAATTACCCAACCCCAAACGTTTGAACAGTAGTGTAAAACATCTATTAAGTAGAATAGTGTCACCTATTTGTGGTCCAAAGTACATTATTTTTTTATCACATATGTTTAAAAAAACTATTTGTAGTTTAATGTGGTACTGTTTTAGTGTGTTTCAATCTTTTGATGTTCAACAAGTGTCTGATTCAGTGAGTTTATTCTCCGAAGAATTCCTCAGACTAATTCAAACACATGACTTTCGAATTTGAGTCTTTTTAAGCAATTCATTACAAAAAGACTCAATAAGTCTGTGATATCCTAGTTTGTAAATCAGACTAAATTAGTTGCACTTCACTTTTGTTTGAGTGCAGCCAGCAAAGACTAAACAACAGAAAGACATATTGCCTTCACATTATTTTGCTATAAACAGCATCTTTATATAATTACATTCAACTTGGGTAAAATTCGACTTCTTTTAGCATGATGATACAGATATAGCAAGAGGTGGAATGATGAATAGAGCTGTAAGAAACACTGAGAAACAAAACCTCTGATCAAAATTTTACAGCAAAAAAATGAATAATACAGCATGTGATCTTTCATTACTCACCTGCCACAGAATTTGGCCGTGGCATAACCAAAGAAGTGCTATGGTACGTGACTGGTCCATCCACAGGTGATGTCGTGACAGGTGCCCCCCCTCCTGTGCTTCCTGTCCCCAGCTGGGCTTCACCAGTCACCACCGGTTCCTCCGAGGTCAAGGGAGCGCTACGCCCGCTCTCGGCCCTTAAACCTGCACCACCATCTTTCGCCCACTCCAGACTAGAGCCACTGCGTTCTTCATTCTCACTGGAACTGGTGACTGTTGCTGCAGGATGGAGAGAAAGAGAGAGAGATGAAGGTGGGGGATATTTATGGGAAGGACACAGGAGGAGAGAACAACACAGAAGGACAAAACATCACAGAAAAGAAAACAGGAATTAACTAATCAAAGGCAGTTTTTGAAAATGATTGACAACCGATGATCTTCAAGCATGAGGACATGAATAAGGACTTGTTTAAGTAATTGCTGTCAAGCTTTATGCTTTAACGCATCCGTGTGTCCTTTCTTTCTTACCGCAATCAAATAGAAAAACACTATTTTAAGCATTAAAAAAAACCTTCTGATGTCCTACTTCAAGAAACCTCCGGCAGACCTGAAATAAAGACAACGCTGTCCTAGATCTCAGACATATAAAAATCTACAGCACAGGCCAACAATAAACACTTCCAGAAAGTTAACAGACAATAAACAGCTTTGATAAGGTGGGTCTCTGGAGGTCTAGTGTTCGCTTCCTCTCTTGATCGCGATCCTTGGAGAAAAGTCAGTTGTGCTTAAAGGTAAACACCTCCGTCAGCATCTTTAAATGTTCCGTAACACCATACATACAAATATTACAATGATAAACCACGAGCAGTTTCATGGAGCCATTCACACTGGAGTCAAACATTTACTTTGAGCTTTTGGAGCAACAAGTATAACTGAAAGCTGAAGCTTCAAAAATCACACACAGTGAACACAACGGTAATCCATACGACCACAGTTGAAGAACTAATGTCTTTTAAAGCAAGAAAATAGGTACTAAATAATACTAATATTAAAAGTTTTTAGTGCATTTTGAAACTCACACTGTACTTCTGTCACTTTACTTGAAGGGGTGTGCATAAGACTGATATGACACCTTCATAACCATAACATGACATATGTCTTGAACATGAAGTAGGGTTTATGCTCTGTAATGGCATTTTGAATGCCAATATGACATTGTTTAAGATGTCTTGACCTAAACCAATACATCATAACCTGTCAGTGTCTTTGTCATGACAACTTGACATAAAATTAAGTTAAACTGTCATGTGGTTGGCTTTGACATTGGCTGTCATGAGGCCATTATAACTGCGTCATGAGTATTTTTTGTGACCTCAACTACAATAATATTAATATTGTAGTTGTAATTGAATAATTGAATTTTAATATATTAAATTTAAAATAAATATATTGAATTTGTCAATATTATTATTTATTTATTTATTAACTTCGTTTTAATTAATTCCTTCATTATTGTTTTTTATAATTGACAGTAGATAACCCAATAAATGAAAAACACAACGCCCTTTTAAAAAGTAAGCCTATCAATAATTATTTATTTGTTATATTATCTGGAATAATTACGAAAATCGAAAAAGTTTAATTTTCTATTTAGCCTATTATAGATAGGACTATACTTTATTTATTCAAATTAAACTGTATGTGTCAATTGATTGTGAAGTTAGACATCGAAAATTGCAGATCAAGCGCATGGGGCTGCATGTCTTCTCTTGTTATGAATTGTATCCTATTTTCCGTTAACTACACGCAGTGATATGGAACTGTAATGCAGTTCAAACTTGCCTGAAACTACTTTAGCCGTGCGTTTCCCTGAAAATAATTGCACACCTTTAACGTTCTCAACCAATCAGAATCAAGCATTCAACAGCCGTGTAGCATAAAAAGGTATAATGGCTTCATGTCATGTTTATAACAGGTTGTGTTGTCTTGGTAATGTCAAGTTGTCATGACAAAGACACTGACAGGTTATGATGTATTGGTTTATGTCAAGTTGTCATAACAAAGACATCTCAAACAATGTCATATTTGCATTGAAAATGTCATAACTGAGCGAATTGTCACAATCATGCATAAAACTTCCTTCATATTCATAACATATGTCACGTCATGATTATGAAGCAGTCATGTTAGTCTAATGCACACCCCTTCAAGTGAAGTGTTACCAATTATTGTAACTCACAAACTGTTTTGAATTACAGTCATAACTTAAGGCATGGTTAGCATTTGAATATATTATTCCTCAAACAAGCATACTTTTGCATCAAATACCTTTAAATTAAATTAAGCAAAGAATGGGGCTGTCAAAGAATGAAAAATACACTAAGACTTTATGGACTTTATCTTCCTTTACCGATTCGAATGTTTTTGCAGCTCAACCAAACAAAAATGCAAATTACTTCAAATTAGTTAAATGTCATTTCTATAATTTCGCTTCAGCAATAAAAAAATGAAACAAAGAATTGAAAATGTTCCTCTTGTGTTTCTGACAGCTGGATGTCAGACCAGCTTTTAATTCAGCCCGACAGATATGCTTTCAAGCTTGCCGTGAATAGACCATTCATCAGTGGGTTGTTTCTTTTTCATTTTGTGCTCAGTGTGAAAGAGCCTTAAAGGTGCCATCTGTAAAAATTGAGGTTATAAAATATCCCAAAAATGAGCTACACATATCAAAAGATTGAGAAGAAATAAGGTTGATGATGTCATTAAAAAACTGACAAGTTATAGTGCTGCCGAGATATTAACCTGAATTAGCATGTCGTAATACCAGTTTCGGCCATGGGAGGCGGTATGCGGGCGGGCAACGTTACCACCAGCCAAACTGCAGTACACGAGTGAGTCGCACTCGCGCCGGCTTGTGTGTACTTGAACCTGATGTCAGTCGTGTGGAAAATACAGCCCACTACTACATTTCAGTTCAGGGAAGAGTTAAAAAAAATGATTGGTCGATATTATGCATGAGGAATACATTTTGGTAAGTTATAACATACTGTATCTTTCAACAGTGTTCGTGTTCTTTTACCATTAGCTAGTAGAGATGATCGGTTCACGTGCGCTAGGGATCTGTTGTGTAAAGCGCCAATACTGTATTTATTGTTTGAATTGCGTAATAAAATTAACAGAACCTGAGAGCTGACATCGGTCTCCGTGTCCTTTTCTGTGCATGACAATATTGATGTGTGGCGTGAGAGTGTGTGAAAAGTGTTGTGAGATTTAGCAGCTCTGAAAGACGCTAGCTTGGTCCACATCAGGGAATGCTGTCTGTCAAATTAATTAAAACTTATGATAAAAATGTAATATGAACAAAACGAATATCATAAAACTAGAAATAATAGCCTGGGCTTTAATTTTCCCATATCGTCGAAATGCACCGACTTGTCTATGAGACGGCCTTTATAATTTAGTGTTGAGATGTTGTTCATTCATCTGTAAAAATCTTCAAATGCTCCACGTGAAACTGCGGTCTTCCAACCTTTTACTATCGTGTCAATTGATTTGATTAATATCCACGAGGGAGACAGAGCAACACAGCACTCGCCCGTATTGTTTGAAGACATGAGAGTGCGCGTGGCCGTGGGGGTTTTTCTGGAGGTATACTGCCCCCATCTGGTATGGAATATGTTGTATGATTTGATTTTAAAACCCAGAGGGCACCTTTAAGATTCCAATCATATACAAAACAACATTTGAATGGAGTCTATACGTTAAGAATACTGTGAGCAATTATTTCAATACCATGAAAAAAAAAAGGTAGGACTTTCGAGTAAAGCGGACTTTGCTATGGAGTGAGGTAGATGTTACCTATGATTCCACTGTCCTTGCTCTCCAGGGTGGAACTGGGTGTAGTGATGATGGTGGAGGTGGCAGTGGAGAAGGTGCTAGAGGAGATAACAGGAGCCCTGCTGCTCGAGGAGCTCTCGGGTAAGGTGGAACAGGGGCTCTCTGCACTGGGAGACGCCGTACTGCTGGTCAGAGTGGAGCAGGGACTCACGCCCTGACTGGACACTATGCACTGCAGAGCGAGACAAGCAAACAGAAAAAAGTAAATAAATATTGCATTAAGGGGAAAAAAGAGACAGCAGAGGAAACAAAAAAAGGGAGCGAAGAGATAGTGATAGATGGAAACTGTTAAACTCAGCTCTTATGTCCATACAAGGGCAAGGCCAAAAATACTCCAAGCCCTCCAGTCTGCTTTTGCTCCAATATAAGCAACCAATTCTATGCTTTTGGAAACAGATTTAGGCTGCAATGGTGACAGTAACCAACACACAGACAAAAGTGCATCCGCATTTTACCAGTGTTTACAATGGCAACGCTTTGGTTGGGGATAAAGTAAATCTGCAAATCTGGGGTGGAAAAAAGCCAACAAGTAAAAGTATAGAAAAAAAGAAACAAAAGAAAGACTCTGTTCTATTAATGCTTTATGGTTTTGAGACTTAAATGTTTCTTAATCCTGGTCTTATTGTGACAAACCAGAATAGAACCAAAAAAATACGTCCAATTCTACATTATCTTCTCATTCACTTGCACATGCAACACAATATAGAAATAAAATGGGTTGCGAAGAGTTTCATGTTGACTTTAAAACAGTCAGTTCTCAAACTTTTTTTCTCCAAAACAATATTCAATGCAAATAGACCCCTTTTGCACCGACGTCACAATTACGTCACGGCAGGCACTAGCTGGAGGCAAAACAAAGTGAAAACTGGAGGCGGCCAATGCAAACCAGCACAGACTCGGCTACATAATAAGGAGCTTAAATTACTTTTATTATTATTAAATGTCATCTTGTTGTGTTGTTTGGTGCAAGAATTGATGAAAAATGATTTTTATTTCTAGAAAATATTCACATGATTAAATCGCACCGTAATGTCACTCTTTACATTGTCATCGTCTCTGCGCTGGCTCGGCAGAACTGCAGATCATACAGACAAGTCTTGTAACATTACAGGACCATTCAGCGCTTAGTTATAGGCATCTAAAGATTTATATGCCCTCAGTTACTCTTTACGATCGGTTTCTCTATAAGGTAGGTGTAGAAGTCAGGCCACTCAACCGAGGTAACGTACGTTAATCCTGTCAGATCATCCATGCATTGAGTGAGCGTGTAGGCGGCTACAGGTCAGCCAATCTGGTTCTGTCCGTTAAAAAAAACTTTTGGAAATAACAATCGCAATCCTGGACCTTACACATTGAGATAAAATCGGATTTTCTCCAGTCATTGTTTAAAAACAAGCTAACAATACTTGCTAACTAGCATTAGTGAAGCGGCCCGAGCGATCGTTCTGCCTCCACCTAAGCTCCGCCCACATAAAAACGTCACCATGTTTACCAACTGAAAAGGGGTCTATATACACCAAGATATTTTCACTATTAAATGCGATAAAGTTGCTCGATCGTTTTCAAACTATTATTATTAACAAAATCGGAGTATCTATAAATGAAATTAAAGAATCATAAAGTTAATAAATTAATGGGGTGGTGTTGGTGCAGTGGATAAGACACATGCCTTTAGTGTGAGAGACCCGGGTTCGAATCCACCGTGAGACACTAATGTGTCCCCGAACAAGACACTTAACCCCTAGTTGCTCCAGAGGCATGCGACCTCTGACATAAACAGCAATTGTAAGTCGCTTTGGATAAAAGTGTCAGCTAAATGAACCATGATTAATTTTGTGAAATGTATGTTCTTTGATAAAAACGTTTTGTTTTAGCATTTCCGTTAGGTGTAGCAATTAATTAATTTAGTCATCCTGCGGGCCTCTTAAAAGTTTGCTGAGGCCCTTTACACTCAATTTTGGGGTGTGAGAAATTATGGGTAATATACCTGCTGCAAAACTAGAGGAAATGCGTACAGGGCATAAACCAACTGTCTAAAACTTACTGTATGACTTCTGTTTTCAGTACATCAAATCCTAGATAGTACTCTGTCCTCTCCTCATACCTCTCTCCACACTTTATATAGGTCAGGGAGAGTGATGGTGGTGGTGTGTGTGTGTGTGTGTGTGTTCAGTGTACCGGAGCCCTGGTCCCCAGAGAACTGTTGCCTGCCAGCCGCTCACCAATGAAGGATTCTCATCTCTCCACACACACACAAACACACATCAGAGTAAAGCACAGCTCAAGCTTTCAGGTAGAGCTTCATGCACCTGTTCAATAATTTCCTCAGTGCAGCATTGAGTTAGAGAAGCGTGCGTTAGAGAGACACTGTTGCTCCACACGCATCTTTCGCTTTCCTGTGGAGAAACTGCATTACTCACCGGCAGCAACATCTCCAGGGTGCTTATCCACATCAAGACTGTTTCAATCCTTATAATGCAGCTGCGCAAGTACACAGCATCGGACATGCATTCATACTTAATGCACTGCGTTTGAAAAGGCTAAAGGGGAGATCAGAAACTGGCCAATCAGAAAGCACATTCTCATTTGTGATAATGCATGACTGATGAAGCATATTTGTAGATGAATTCAGCAACCAGGAGCTTTGTGTGCAGCAATCCATAAAAACGCTACGTAAGCCTCTTATGAGCAACTTATATCCCAGATAAACACTGCAAACCTCTGCTTGATGTACCTGCTGTATTACGATTTGGACACACTAAAATAAATGTCTTTATAATGTTAAAAACAAATTGAAAAAGAGAATTTAGTGACTAGAAACTAGTATATTACAGATATATAGTGGACATCAGCAGGGTTAATATAGTTACAGTAGTTGTCGAAACTAATGCTAAAACCATAAAATACATTTGTGTTGCTTTAAATAATAGAAAAAAATTAAATAAATAAAAGATAAAAAAATGTATTTCATTTCATCTAGTAGCCAAGGCAAATGTAATTATTAAAATGAATCATTAATTTTAATAAAAACATTAAAATTATTAAAACATTATTATTAAATAACACTGGACATCACACACACTGATTTAAAGAATAAGTTCGCCAATTTTCAACCAGCTTTGTATTGTTACAATGTCAGTAGTAGATGTAAATAAACAATGTGTATCAATCTCCCAGTTTATTTGTCATCTAAAGCAAAAAGTATCATTCGGCAGACTTTTGTGAAAACTAGAGACCGTACTTTGGCATTTTTGTATTGCCACTCTTGGAGTCCAGTGCATTATGGGTGTTAAAGTTTTCCAACATTATTTGCAAAAGGGAACGCCACATTCCTTGTTCTCCGTTTTATCTATCTATCCTATTGCAACTATTTAAAAAAAAAGCGTTTCTAATCAAAGTTTTATTAAAAGCCCATCTTGCCAGTGATAAGTCACCACTTTAATGGTAAAAACTACCTTTTTTTAAGTGAAAGTCTTACAAAGCTCTAAACAAAGCTCTTCCAATAGTCTGTCTAAAGTCAAAGTGTGATTCTAGAAGAACAGCTCCAGCAGTGTCATCGATCTCTCTGATAAATGACCTCTGGTATCCAGGGCTCATTCGGTGTAACCGTATTTCCTCTTTGGATGTTACCGCCCTAATCTTACATATCTTTAGTGACGTGATGCCACAGATTCCACGTCTCCCAGAGTTTGGGTGTTTTGACCTGTAGGGTTCATGTTTACCTGTTTCTCCTCCATGTTTGTTTGTGATGAGGTGGGGATGGCGTCTCCCAGCAGGAAGCCCAACCGTGTCATGAGCTCCTGGACAGCCGGGGAGGAGCCAGACTCAGCCGTCGAGAGCAGCTCTACACACACACACATATTCAAAGGTTAGGGAAGGATGAAAAAAAAAAAAAAAAAAAAAAAAAAAAATCACACCCCCAAAAGCAACATGTCTACAGGTACCCGAACACACAAAGAATGCATTCGCATTGACGAAACATCTACTTGACCACACGTACATTCAAACACTGCATTCAGTCCAATTACACATTCAACGCTATTCCTCCAGGGCGTACAGTGAATCTGTCCCAACTCACCAAGATCCAAAGGACCGGTGTGGCACTTCCTGTGCTCTCCTTTCCTCTCCTCTCACTGCCTTTCACAGTCTCCTCTGCTCTCTGGCAATCTCCGTCCCTCCCTCTCACATCTCTCTCTCTATCTCGCAACTGTTCTCTCTTAGTCTCAATCCCTCCCTCTCTCTCTCTTTCTCTTTTTCTCTCCCCCTCCTCTATGTTGCCCTGTATCTCTCGTTCTGTAGTACAACGCACTCTCTTTACAGTGCACAACACAGCTTCAGAAAGCCTGGGTTTGAGATTCGGTTATTATGACAACCAAGTTTCTATTCATTCAGAGGCTGTGTGTGTGTGTGTGTGAGACAGAGAGGACAGGGTGTGAATGTGAATGAGCAGAGATCGTGCTCGCTTCAATCACTATAGGCTAGTTCTCATTCTCAGAATACAACTGGCTAGATACACACACACACACACACACACACACGTACGTTCATTCATTCTCTCCCTTTCTTATGTGCACAACAACACCATCCCGTAATTCTGCACAGATACAATAGAAAAACACGATTCTATGCTAATTTAATGTTAGATAGTGTCACTTTAGGAAATTAAGTGAGGCTCATTGAGTTGATTAAAGCTCATTGAGTTGTTTCACCATAAAAGGGTGAAAGAAAGACTGACGAGGTCCTGATATTGACGAGGGGGCGGAGAATACGCATCATCTGTGTGTATGTGTGTGTGTGCTTGGCCATCATCAAGTGGTATTTCAGACTGGACGTGCTGCGATGATGATAGCTCAGTTCACAATGACAAAAAACACGTCACTTTGGTCTTGTCAATTGAACCATTTGGTAACTTTTTAGTAAAGTAATGTTTCCATTCAGAATTTTATTGACATCCATTTTGGCGTCTCGCGCTCGTCATCCACTCAAAACGTAACGTTAACCAACTATTTGGCCAGCTCGCAAGCCCAAACAAGTGTGTGCGGCGTGCCGGTTTTGTTTCTGGTCTAGCTAGATCCGCTTGCGCTTTGGTCTACGAAGCAACAAAACGTCCTCGCGCAGCGCAAGCCATTGAAATGAATGGGTTTCATAGCGCAGCGCCACACATGCCACGTCTTGTTGCAAAAGCATATGAAAAAAGTATGAACAAACAAAGTATGCTAGGCCAAAAAGACCATTAATCACGTGATAAAAAAAATTACGCCATTAAAATGGGTTTGCGTTAACGCCGTTAATAACACGTTAAACTGACAGCCCTAATATATATATATATATATATATAAGGAAATATGTCTTACAAAAATCTATCACAGATTTATGGATGAATTAAAATAAAAAATTATTTATTTATTTGATATTATTGGTGTTTTTTTAAGATGCTAGGATATTCTGGGCAGTTATGCAGAGTGTTGTTATCTGGCTATTAAACTTTTATGAGTGGCGAATGTGGTTCTTTACAAGAGCAACCCACTTTTAAGTCTCACTCATATTCTTGGTTCAGTCCCAGCAATTTAGTTCAACCATTTTATTGTCTACCAGGTGAACATCTTATTGCTTAGAAAAGTAATCGCACCACTCTTCTCTTCTTCTCATTCATGTCTTCAGCACTAACCGTTTATGCTAATGTTCAATACTTAGAGGGGTAAGGTTAGAAAAAGATGGCCTTATAAAAAGGTGAAAATGCCCCAGGAAATCAATTTAAGGTGGCAAATATTGTCCCTTAATTAAAAAGGTAATTTCTCTTCCTGACCACCGCAGAGGAGAAATAAATACTCCCATAAAATATTGAGATTTGTCAATATTGCACACCCTTAATTCAACAGACAGCCTCAAAGCAAACATAAATGGACGAAATGACACAAAACACTAATGCTGATTTCATGGACCCTTTCCTACCATGTACTGTACATACCAAGACACAAATGCACAATTAAACAAAAAAGCTTAATATGTGGTCTGACATATTTAAGCAATTACGAAATGTAAATGAGCAGGGAAGTCTTGTGTAGCATCCCTGAGGGAATGACAGGGCAACAGGCCAGAGTTCATTAGCATACTGCACTCTGTCAGCAACACTGTCCTGCTCCTCCACCCCCCTTCCCTTGTTAACATCTCCTGCCATCAATCTGGCTTTACACAAATCACTTCTCGATCGATTGACGCTGCTGGTCAGCTAGTGTTGTTTACTCTCGATTGACAGCAGAATTTACAGGCAAACCTAGAGCAGAATCCATATTTAATACATCGTTCATAAATCATTTATTAGCGTGCAATGACATGCAGCATATGCGTGCTCGTCCTCTGGGTCTACATCCGAAGGCGTGTAAAAGTACATGCTAATCCAGATAAATGTTCCCTAATTAAACCATTTATTCTGCTTTTCTTCACAATAGACAATAGGACAGTGAGATGAGTGTGGATTGTTTCAAAGCCAGTTTACAATGGTCCACAGGTCTGAAGCCAGCTCCTCTCTCAGCTGGTCTCCAATTGATCTACATTGGCCAAAAGAATACAGACCTCCCAATGAGTTCACACATTTCACACTCCTTTTGCGTATGAAGAACACGTACACTGAACCGTTTTCTCCACACATGCTTACACACGAAGTTTACACAAGGCTTGTTTTTGCAAAGCACTCAAGCAGTAGTGTAGTGGTGCCTGGTCATTTTGGCAGGCCAGAAGTCTAGAAGTCTAGTAACACTTGTAGGTGTGTATGTGTGTGTGTGTGAGAGAGAGAAAATCATTCCCCGAACTGGTGCCAGATTCCCTCCTGATTGTTTGAGAGAGCTGCGTAAATCTAAATTCTAAGTGTGTACAGCAAAGTACTGGAATAAACCTGTGTAATGAATTTGATATAAAAATAAAAGCAAAGACACCATTTATAGCATCAGATAGTACTCATTAATATAAAACTCCACGTTTAATCAAATTAGAACATCTAAGTACCACAAACTAGGCAGCTGTTGGTCTTCAATTCATACGTGAAGGTTTTTGGGTTCAATTAGACAGCATTATAGAATTTCTTGACAGGATAGCCCCTTAAGATGTAACATCTCATTTTCAAGGGGGTCCTAAAAGCATGAGCAATATACAACACAGACAACATAAAACACAACAACATTACAAAACAAAACTACAAAAGAAAAGAAAAAGAACACTACAAAACGAAAAAGCTCAACCTGCTTCCCACACTCATAGTTTCAACATAGTTTCATTACAGAATCTCATCATCATACATCATCAACATAGAGCCACGTAGTAACAGCAAAAGATCCTCAATTGAATCTACACTATCAGAAAAAGGTACGAAAGCTGTCACTGGGGCTGTACCTTTTCAAAAGGTACACTTTTGTCCATTTTAGGTACTAATTTTTACGTTTTATGTGCTAATATAAACATTTTATGTGCTAATATGTACATTTTTGGTGCTAATATGTACATTTAAGGTGCTAATATACACATTTCAGGTACTAATAAGTGTTGATATGTACATTTTATGTGCTAATATATACATTTTATGTGCTAATATGTACTGTACATTGTTGGTGCTAATATGTACATTTCAGGTACTAATATGTACAGTTTAAGTGTTGATATGTTCATTTTAGGTGCTAATATGTACCCTTAAGGTACAAAAGTGTACCTTTTGAAAAGGTACAGCCCCAGTGACAGCTTGTGTACCTTTTTTTCTGAGAGTGTAAACAGAGAGAAAACAAAATAAAATCAGAAACATATACAAGTGATTTTAAGATTGGAGAATAGGCATAACCTAAAACGATTGAGAGAGGAAATAGATCTCAATGAAACGGGAAGATTATTCCAGTCAGAAGGGGCTTTATACAGAAATGACCTACGTCCAACTACACTAACAGTTTTTGGAACAAAGAAAAAAGGATGTTGCGAATGTCAAAGAGAGTAGAGAGATCTATATGGAATCAACAGTTCATTCAAATAAGAACGACAAGCAAAATCATATTATAATTATATAATTATATATATATATATACACATATTATTATTAGATTATAATTGGGGCAGTCGATTTAATTATAACATTTATTAACGCATTTAATGCACCTGCCCTGCCCCAGACCTACTTAGTTCATCATGTCATACAGTTGATTGGTGACGAACATGAATCAGAAGTCACTCTGGGTTGTAGCCTATAGAATGCAGTTAGAATGGCCCTAAAATTCAAGATATCAGGGGAAAAATGCCCCTGTATGAGTTTGTCTTATATATACACTCACCTAAAGGATAATTAGGAAACACCTGTTCAATTTCTCATTAATGCAATTATCTAATCAACCAATCACATGGCAGTTGCTTCAATGCATTTAGGGGTGTGGTCCTGGTCAAGACAATCTCCTGAACTCCAAACTGAATGTCCGAATGGGAAAGAAAGGGGATTTAAGCTATTTTGAGCGTGGCATGGTTGTTTGGTGCCAGACGGGCCGGTCTGAGTATTTACTGGGATTTTCACGCACAACCATTTCTAGGGTTTACATAGAATGGTGTGAAAAGGGAAAAACATCCAGTATGTGGCAGTCCTGTGGGTAAAAAAACCTTGCTGATGCTAGAGGTCAGAGGAGAATGGGCCGACAGATTCAAGCTGATAGAAGAGCAACTTTGACTGAAATAACCACTCGTTACAACCGAGGTATACAGCAAAGCATTTGTGAAGCCACAACACCCACAACCTTGAGGAGGATGGGCTACAACAGCAGAAGACCCCACCGGGTACCACTCATCTCCACTACAAATAGGAAAAAGAGGTTACAATTTGCA